CGCACAGCCGGCTGTGCGGGTATGAGTGCCCTCAAAATTGGCGTAACAGTAAAGATTGTGGCTGTAACACACTATGGGATGACTGCCCATAAGGTTAAGGTTTAGGCTGCGAACACAGTTGACAAATAACAACATTATATTTTTCCCCCTGATACAAGCTTTTCAATAGAAGCTTTTATGATGACCAATGAATCTTATTATACGCCCTAAGGCTGGTCTTTATATTATATATAGTTCGGCACGCCCTGCTTGGCCTGATGGGCATACCGAGTATAGGTGAGAGCTTATTCCGGCAGAGAGAACCTAGAGTGCAATCCACACGTGACAAGCAATAAACCAGAGTAAGCTGCAACTCGAAAGTGCTTCTTTGACTTCTATTGTTTACTTTACTTTTTCTTTCTTCATTAATTATACCAGTATACAAGTATGTAGCTTATTGGACAGATGAAACGCTTGCTGATATTCACGTGACAGGACCCGATCGCCAGACGCGATGTTAATGCAGGGAGGCTCCGTTTCTCCCAATACCGGAAAAATGTCCTGGTCAAACAGTCAGGAATTCTTAGACACCATCGAGGAGTCCATGGCGGAGGTCAAGGCAGAGTTCAAGGCGGTACGATCTGAGCTGGACCAAGCCCGCACAGCAGCCCTTCAGGCCAAGGACGAACGTGAACACTACGAGACATCATTCAACAATCTTGAGAAGGAATACAAAGTCTTGAAGGAGGAAAGCGAAAAAAAGGATAAGCAAATCGAAGAGCTGAAACAGGCTCTGAAGCATTATGAAGACCGATTTTTCCCGAACGAACGACGATCATGGCGGGACCTCTATAAGGGGCAATAAACATGCGGTAAGAAACTTGGCGATTGAAAGCGGCGTTGGCTGATGTGATGAAGCATGCAAAGAGATTGCAGATTGGACAGGCTGAAGACTGAAGTGAGACGGGAGTTGCAGGATTCGTAGTCCAGGCTCTTGAAATGAGGATTGGTATCTCCCGTGAAACCTTTCGTGCAGAGGGCTATGCCAGCTTCAATAAATTCAGGTCCAGACCTACTTCACCGTGGCAAATTATTCCGCGATTAGTCGTCACTCTGAATTTATGAGGGAAACTGAACTATAAGGCTTCAGTTCAACGACCGTCCTGATGATCGATCTATCAATGGCTAAAGTGACATGGGACTAAACAAAGACAAAGTATTCAACTGGATACACCATCGCTGAGCAAGTTCGTCGGTTACATTGCTGTCGAGTCTCAGTTCCGCCATTCACACAAAACACCCGATATCCATCTTGCGATTCAACGTCATGGTTAGACAATCTCCCACTCGCTCTTCTCAGACTTGTCGTCGGTGTTGGCCTTTTAAAGTTAGATTGGTATCAGATTAGAAGGGTCAACGTACCTCAGGACTCCCCGGTCCGTTCGCCGCCCAGAGCGACTCGACATCCGTGTTCATCTTACGAGCGAAGTAGTCGGCAGGGAAGAAAGCCGGACCTGTCGTCCACTTGACGAAACGTTCGCCCCCAATCTCACACATCTCAACACGGGTCTCGCCCTCTTTGAGATCGTCCTTGGCATCTCCAGGGTTGCCAGCATTGGGATCAGACTTTCGGGCAGTCTTCAAGTTGGACTCAAGGACCGCGGCGTAGCTCTTGGCCTCTTCGAGTTCCTTTTGGAGGGACTCGATGCGGTCGTGAAGAGCGCGGAGCTCTTGGTCGGTCAGAGAAGGCATTTCTGTTGTTTGAAGTTAGCGGGGAACAGAACAGAAGATGTGAACTGACCTGCGTGATGTAGGTGGGAGTGTTTTTGTGGAGTGCGAGACTGTTATCAAAGAGCAAGATGATCCAAGGAAATAAGTCCAAGATGACGGGAGTGGAAGAAGGATCCAAGAGATGAAGAGTCAAGATGAATAGTCAAGATGAAGGAGAGTGAAGAATAGTGAAGAAGATGGAAACTCAAGACGACGGTCACAACTGGTGGCGGTTTAAGCGAGACTTGTGGAGCCTGCATGTTTGCACTCATTGAATCAGCTTGGGAATGGTCTGGCAGTGGCAGGGCAGACGAGTTCCTGCATGAAACACTGGCACTTCATTGGTTGGGGCGGTTTTGTACCACTACACACTGGGACTTGTTCAGCCCTGAGTTGGGGACTCGGACAGCATTGGAAGTTCTGGAGGTTCACGGTTGTTCCAGGGGAGCCGAATAGTGTTTTTGCAAGTCCAGGAACAAGATGAACGCTGATCCACAGCGACTGTCAAGTTGATATCGGGAGAATAGAAGCATGTCCTTGTTCAAAGTTGGTCCGGGAGGCAGAAAAGGAAGTTGAATATATTTTGAGCCAGATGAGATTACTCATACTCAATGGATCGACGGTTTGGCGGTGCATTTTTAATCGTATGAGATGGACCTTTATCGTATTCCTGAGGTCTCGAATTGGGTGTGACTACAGATGGAGGTCGTGAAAGAACATTTGTGAACAAGTCAAGAACACCTCGCTAAATTAACACACGCATCGACACTCAGTGGATAGTAATGAAACCTTTTCTCAGCTGGAGATTACATGTAAATGTAAAAATAGAAAAGTGATAGAGATCTTTGAGTGAAATGTTCTATTACCCTGTATCGTTACAGAGCCGCACTTAACCGAGATCCCAGATCTGGACCCACAATTTGTTGCCCAAGGCGAACCACGGTCTCAAAGCAAGCTTGGGCAAGGCAAGTTCGCACCTGCATTTCAAGCTTGCGATCCTCACACATCGACTCATGTTTCGAACACGTCTCCCAACCGTCCCTGTGATAACAGCGCTAATTGCACAGATCCAGCGCGCAAGAAAATCAACCGAGTTTGATGAAGCGCGACAATGTGATCACCATCACTGTGGCGCAACAGACGAAGCCGACGTTGGCTGCCATCGCACAATCAGCTTCCCCCGTGCAGTCCCTGATCCTGAAGGGAAACCAAACGCCGACCGATTCTCTAGAGCGCACAAGCGCAGGAATCACTTCCACCCGAAAAGCCCATGACCAGCGATCACCAGCCTCAGCGTTCCGGACAGAGTCGAGGTCAGTCTACGTGCGGCCGCCGATCATAAGCAAGTGAAGACATCCAACAAACCAACGGGCTAGCAAGGAAATCATGAGACTTTGAACTGTCAGAGGAGCAGAAATCGTAAAAGGAAAACGTCAAGGGTATGTGATCCTTGCATGCCGCTCACAATCGCTGACCAAGAGATACGCAGGCGTCGGGACTGAACATTCCGAACAAAGGCGATTGCCACGGTAAATTGCATCAAGCGACTCAGGCGAAACAAGGTTATGCTTCAACAAACTCTACCACGACTGGATAAGATGTTCCCGACTGGATATGAGAGATGAGACTCGCCAATCGCCCCGTCGTCAGTCCGTTTCCGCTCAATCGAACCCCAATACATTGTGATACACACGATAAGGCGACTTTGAGACCTCCAATCCCATCTGGAAGAGCCCAACAGGGACCTGACTGGCCGCAGCATGCTCGGATCGGACGCGCATCAATAAACACACTCCCAGGACGAAGCAGCCGACTCGATCTCCAGTGCATTGCCGACGACGAGGCCTTGAGTACCAGAAGTGACCTTCGCTGCGAGGATGAAGAGGCCGTCTCGTCCTCTTCAGATGGTCGCCTCCGCTCGACCACTCATTCCAGGATCCAACATCAGCTTCAAGATACGAAATCGCATCATAGGACTACAGAAACGTTGACGACTTCCGCACTCTCACGACACGCATCTCAACATCGCTGCCAAGACAAGGAGTGAGGTCAAATCTGGACAGATCGTGCCCTAGACCTCAAATTCTGCTCCTATACTTCTAGCAAAAATGATGGAGGGAATCTTGTGACGAGCGACTGGCCAGTTCATGCATCTGACTACAAATCGTGCTCTCCACAGTGAGATTTCTCATCCATTCTTGAGCCGCGGATGACTTATGTGAGAGGCTTGCGGTAAGTTGTGCGCAAAAGCGCCTACCCAGCTCTTCAAAGGCCAATTGATCTCTCATCCTCTCATTCACTTGGTGCCATCACCATAGGCTTCCAATGTCGCTCCAGCTCTTGCGGCCCATGATCAGTAACGCGCCCATCTCGACACGATTCTCAATCCGCTTGAAGCTCTTTCTTACTCTTCAGCAGGACCTCTGTTCCAGTTTGCCGAATTGTCATGTCGCCCGACCGTCTGAACTCTCCTGATGAAAACGAGACTAAACCAGACACCTTCTCTTTTCATTGCTCACTCCGCTACTGCATCAGCAACATCCCCTTCCCGACCGCTCCTTCGACCGACCGGCACGCAGCTTCAACAATGAGATCTTGAATTTCTTGTAGAGGATCAGCAAATCTCTCATGAAAAGATCCCAGTCCCCATGGAATTGGCGGATGTCCCTGGTGTCAAGTTATGAGCGGGAGTTTTATCATCCAAGCCATCTAATTGCAACTACTGATCATACCGAGACAGTGAAGACAAGATCCAAGCCCTGAAGCCTTCTACAGCCAAGTTTCCCGAACCCAAAAACCAAGCCGCGTTACAGGCTTCCTCTCGAAATCGATCTCAGCCGAAAACTGCCCCAAACCTACATCAGAAAGCTTTCCCAAACGTCGCATGCTCCGACATTTCGGGCGTCCCTCTAGCTTCCGTGCCTCAATGAAACTCCCCCATCGTTGAAGATGCCCCGAAGGGCGAAGCACCGAAGATTTGAAGAAGCCCAAATCAGGAACGTGATCAACCTCGGACGGAATCGGGCACCGAAAACTGGCGCTTTGGACCTTTCCCAACTACCTAAGCCGGCGGCACCCTGGATGTTCCAAGCTGATGTCGAATTTCAGTGCATGCCCCCAGCTTGAAACTTCCTCCGTATCACCAAGGGCCCAAAGGCAAGGGGTCTCTGATTTTTGCGCTCGGTTTGGCGGACGTGCAGTATTGAGCTCACGAGAATTTCAACAAGTAATCCCGCTGACATGCCATTCAATAGCAACATCCAACCTCGCAAAATTACCTCCGAACCGTCCCTCAAGAGAACTCCGACGCCGACCTTGCCCATGAAAAATACCGAAAATCGCAAAGCTCCGTGGCCATAACACCCCAATCGCAACCTCGTTGGGCTCAAGACGAAATGAGCCTCAGCCGGGATCAATCTCAGACCCCTTTCCCTCCCGTCAAAGGCAAAGACCTGCTTATGTTATTCGATCCAAGTCGATATCCTGCCGTGATCCCCATGTTACAGCCCTTCCGCGTTGCCAAGATACCAAAGATGAGCGTTTCGTCCGATTACATGCGATCGCACTCAGGTTTTTAGAAAAGGCTCGAACGACTCATGAGAGATAATTGCGCCATATTATCACCAAGAAGTTGCACCCCGACCCAGCATCCGCGCCACTACGCCAATACCGTGCATCCTTCATCCCCAACCTTCGAATCACTCTCTTAAAAGAGACTCTCTATCCGTAGACGGCCCTCGAAAGCTCGTGGTGCTTTGGTAGAAGTGCCGGTGCAAGTGGAGCAGGACGGAGCCCGCAGAGATGAGGGCATCCCTGACTGTCATGCCGACGGGGCGGGATACACGATTCGCGATTCAAATACTGTTCTGCAAAGAGAAGACTCCCCAAAGGCTTTTTTATTTGCTCGCGCTTCCCATAAGCCTGTCTTCGAAAACAGTTTCAGAACATTACACTCTGTCACCCAACACAACACGGAATGGCAGGTCCCTCTTGCCATTCCAGCGACAGTCGCGATGTACACATTCCTGATTTGGCCACCACGCTCTCGGCAATTGGTCCTCCGACAATAAGCTTATGTTGTTCGCACGTGGTATTTGTCTTTTGGAAGGCGCGCAATCCATTTTGGGTATGTTCAAGAATACGCCGAATTCTTGACCATGGCAGCAGTTCAGAGGCTAAGGAACTCGTAGAGAGGTCCTCACCTAAACGAAGCTAGTCCTTCTTCACTGATTTGGATATCTCGCTTTCTCCGGGGATGGTTCATGTCTGATCCGCCTGCCTGTTCAGAGGTGTTGGTCGGGAGAACTGTTTGCGTGTGTAACTCATGGAGATGCGGAAGAACAGGAAAAGCCATTTAAGTTCATCCTAAAGCTACCTAAATCTTTATAATTGAGACTATACTAGTAGCAAATGTAGCTTGGCGTAAGATTATTTCTAAAGTCACTACGCACTCGTTGTGAGACAGAAGTCCAGGGCAAGAGAGTATCTTGTTTCTGACAGCGACTTTTGAGATGGTTAGTTATCTTTCGTCCAGCTGCAATTGTAGTATATTTCGACTGCGTAAAAGATGAAAATAGGAATGCAAAATGCATATCTTTCTCCGCGACTGTAGATGCATCATGTCAGTGTTTGTACTTTGCGAGTGTTTGGCTAGGCGTCTACGTTGAGGGTTCCCCCGGTGATTGCAAGGAAGAGTCCCCCGAAAGAGCTTGCAGATTTACTGCTAATAGCTTTGCGGGTTGTGATGATCAATTTTAGGGCTTATGATTATTTTTAGAAACATTGATTAATCTTGGGAATGCTAATTTACTCTGGAAATATTCTTCTTCTCGAGAAAGGAGTGGAACGCACCTGTCAGTATCGCTTGGTGAGGGGTCTTGTTAGCCCCTTAAATTAGAGGTTCACTTCTACTCCAGCCAGAGTCCGGTCACAGTGCGAGAGTCGTCTTCACAACCGCCCTCGTCTCCACAATTCGTTGAGTCCAGATGAGTTGTTTCATTGAAAGATCCCTGCTGAGGCGCAACCAACAGTCACGCGATTATTCCCCAACAAAGCTTTAGCCGTTCAAGCGAGCCAGCACCACGACCAGCATCAGAAGTTTGAACCGAGCAAGCAATCTTAGACAGCGAGTACCTCAGACGCCTATATAGTCGAGCCGCCAGAAAGCCAGGACTTTGGTTGCATCGCATTCTAGGTCGCCTTGTCCACGTCACAACAATGAATCTCGCTAAAGTTGTGACAGGTTACTTCCGCACCCTCGCTCTTGAAGCTGGCGCCCAAGCTAATGCAAGTATCCCTACGAACACGACCGAATACCATTACCTTTCTGCCCCACCGACCCGAACCCGCTTCTAGAGTCGCGTGATGCGCGTAGTCGCTGGGCCCGAGCCAAGATAGCGCAGAACTTCCCGCTCCTCCTCTAGCGCACGCAGAGGGGACGAGCTTTGCTCAAATCCCCCACTTCCGCCGTCAGAACTCAATCTGCGCCTCTCCCGAAACAAGAGGTATGGCTCGGCTGCCAAGATAGAGTCCCAGCCACCAAAACCGCCACCCCCTGAGCTGCGACGCATTCTACCACGCCCCCTTACTGTCCAATTCTTGCCGGATTAGAGTTTGGTACCGATCCACGTGTCCTTCCTCACGAAGCAGGTGTCTACGGTGTCGGTCCAATAAGATGGGGGTTCGTGTCCGAAACGGGGAATCTTTGTTTCGGAGGAGGAAGGCTCAACCCATGGTTCTCCATCGGTGATTACGCTGCTTTGGACGGACGAGGATGGCGGATTTTTTGAGAAATAGAAGATAAAAAGCTTTGGGTAATTTGTTACAAGATTCGATGAATAGTGAGGACTTGTAAGAGCTATCATATCTTAGACAAACTGGGTCACATTGATCTTCAACATATAGTTCTCCCTTCACATCCCATTACCTCCTGCCCTTCATACCTCACTTCGAACTCCAACATCTTCTTCTCTGCCATCCATCACTTCTTCTTCCTCTCCATACCCTCCCAGTACCACCGTGATTAATCCCATGTTTCCCTCAAGCTGAACCACTCGTCGGCTGTGGCGAAGAGTTTTGAGTACACCGTGAAACATGTACCAAACGAATCCTCCACCCTACTCACCCAAGAAACTCGGGTTGTCTGTTTAGCTTCTTCCACTCCTCGTCTGGGTCGATCTCCGGGTTACCATGCAGTGTCACAACCCGCCTGCTGGCCGCCAGAGTGCGCAGCACATTGTCAAACATTGTCGCGTCAGGCTTCTGCAGCCCATCATCAGCATCGTCTTTTTCCTGCAGGCGTCGGAATTTCGTGCTTGTGGTTTTAATGTCTCCAAAGATCAAGAGACTTGACTTTTGCCGGGTCAGTGCAACGTTGAGACTTCGGTGCTCTGCGACAAACGATGGCCCGGTCTCGTGGGTGACACACAAGGCCAGAACCACAATCTGGGCTTCCCGTCCTTGGAACGTGTTGACAGTTGAAGGCGTGACATCCTTGAGTATGTCGTCCTCTCTGAATCGCTTCCTGATTGCCGCAAGGTTGGCTCGGTAGTAGGTGATGACGGCAATGTCAGCGGGGTTGAGCGAGAGTTCTTCAATCATCTTGACCAGAAACTCAGCGATGAGATCTGCTTGTCGGGGATTGAAGCGTGTCGCTTTGTGAGGGTAGTTTCTGCATGGGCAGTTGAGACAGTCGAAAAAGACAGGGTGGATCCGATCTTCACCAGCTGAAGGAATGCGATGCTCAAGTCGGAGGTAGGTCTCGACTTGCGATCCGATCGGAAAGTTCTTCACTTGACAATACGGGCTGTACTCAAAATGGGAGACCAGATGCGGGTAGACTGTTCTCAGGGAGAGGTCAAAGAGACCCTGCGCCATTCGGTGTTGGCGGTAGAGATTGAACACAGGCCATCCGAGTCGAATGAACAGATGGAACCAGGAGATGCGGTAAAAGAGCGCAAACCTGTTGGTCGGAAATTTCTTCTCCTCCTCAGTCTTGTCGCGTCTGTCCTTCCCAGTGTGGAGCAACTCCATCGCCGTTGGGAGCACGGGGGCAAGCTGGTTGGTGTCGCCGAAGAGGATCATAGGTCGAGGAGTATTGCCGAGAACCAACAAACCATCGGAGCAGAACAGTGTGGCAGCCTCATCAAAGATGACGCCGCGAGCCACTTCAGAGTTGTATGATCTGTAGAGGAAAGAGTTGGATGTCGCAGGAGTCGTAGCCACGACGTTGGAGCATTTGATGACCAGGCCCATCAGATTGCGGAGGGATTTCTCGTAATGGCCAGTCCTGTACAGTCTGCGCTTCGTCTCCGGATCGCGCTCCTCTGCAAATTTCACAAGACCCGCGAACTCGGAAATCCTGGGCTGCTTGGCGACGAGCCCCTTGAGTCTCTGGTGGAGCTCCCAAAGTTCACCGCTGTCGTCGCAAGTCAATTCGGGGACAATCCTTGAACCCAAAACCCGCAGCGTCCACCAGCACAGAGAGTTCTCGAACCTCCACGCCGACGAGCTTCGCGTGCCAGGCTTGAAATGAAGTCCGGCCAAAGCTCGAAGACACTTCTCCTGCTCGTCTTTGAGTCTGTATCCCCGGACCACCATCAGCTGAGAGACGGAGACACCATCGGCGGTGAGATTCTTAATGATAGTCTTGGCGAGAGCATTGGTGCGGTCGAGGATATTGTCGGTTGCTTCATTTGAAGCGGCGCTCAGATATACGTGCTTGATGGTCGGATTGAGGCACATGAGAACTGTGATGGCCGAGGCCAGTGTCGACTTTCCAGTACCAGGAGGTCCAGAGACAATTCCCAGGCCGAAATGGAGTTTGCTGAAGTACTGCCGAACCTTGCTTCGATCAGCTTCGAATACAGAGCCAAGGCAGGCATCCCGAATCTCGACGGGCACATCCTTGAAAAGGTCGAACTGAGTCAAGGTGACATTGGCTCCCGAGCGATGAAGGTTCCATAGTCCGTTGCCGATCAGAAGCTCGTTGAATATGGTCTTGCTGTTGGAGGCGAGACTGTCTTTCACGACTGGCCAGACCTCTGGGTCGCTCAGACGATTGATGGCATGCACTCGAAGCTCCTCCCCGTACGCGTTGGACTCGCAGATGAGTTGCACTAAATCCCGGTCTTGGCTTTCATTGTCTCTTTCGTACTTATCGTAGGCGATGGGCGAAAATTCGTGTCCGTCGTCGCCTTCGTGCGGGCGCAACAGGATGAGTGGAATCTGGTCGTATGAATCAATATCTTTGGGGAGTTCGGAATCGCCATAAATCACTGGCGACGCGTCCCACACAACACGGCGTCGGGACGCGTTGGGTAAGAACTCGACCTGCAGCTTCGTGTAGGATCCCTTCAGTGCGCGGTGGACAGCACGCCAATGCCGGTTTTCCTGGGACGTTAGTTTGGCCATGGGCTGGGTCAAAGTACTCACGAAATTCTTTTTGGGGGGTTCCAGCAGACACAAGAATCTGGCTGCACGTTTGATGGATTCGTTGCCAATCTTCTAGATGAGCGCCGGCATCTCAACGTCGTTGACATGTTCCAGGTCGTGGTGAAAGTCCCAAACATCTTGAACGTGGATCTGAGTCCAAGCAGTGTCTCTTTCATTCTGGTCTTTGAAGCGGGTTGTTTCGGGGAATAGCATGCCTCTCATTGCGGGAATCTGTTTATTGTAGCGATCCCAATTCCATCCGTGACTGCACAGGTTAGATGATGTGAGGAAGATGGTAAGCAAGACTTACTGAGTGCCGTATCCATAGCCACTGGGTTTGCACCGCTGATTCATGGCGCCGATCACATCGTCCATGTCATCCTTGCTGGCCTTGACGATAAGACTAAAGCTTTTCCTCTGGAGAATCTCTGGTAAGGAGGCGACCCCAGCGATCGGAGTGTGTTTGTTGACCCATTTGTCGACATGTCCGTTTTCTCCATGAAATGGGAGGCCAAAGCCAATGACTGTAGTCTTGGAATGAGGCGAGATCTGTAGCTCTACACGTCGGTATTCGCTCAATTCGCCATCAAGACCTAAAAGCTGTTCACCGTCTTTGGTAAGCTCGCTATGAGTCGCGGTGAAACCCCCTGGGGGAAGTTCCATGGTGACGTGATGAAAGGCCGAGTCTGTCGTTGCATAATCAGCGGAATACCAGCCCCAGGTGCTCCGATCAGTGCTGCGAGGGAATGAAAGTCGAATCCCTTTGGTGTTCAGACTGATGATGATATTGCGCGATGAGTGAAGCTGAGTATGCTTCAATCCCTCATCGCTGGCCTCACCGAGGATCATGCTACAGAGGATTTGGCGGCGATGAGGTGTCGCCATGTTTGTTGTGGGTGCTTGTGATGCGGAAGCAGGCCTTTGGAGGTGAGATGATGAAGCCGAAAAACCCACGAGCGGAGAGATGTTTTGAAGCAGGCTGCAGGTCGCCTCGAAGAAGCGGGGCGGGTGTGGTTACACGAAGGGTGCCCCCGAGGGGAGAGAGCTCAAAAAGAAGAGCAAATCACAAGCGAGCGAGAAAAGCAACACTCACGGAGGGGCCAAGAGTCAGTGAATCGCGCTAGCTTTCTTTGGTCTGGTGGAAGATGTCTGAAGTTCTGTGCTTTTTACGCCTCCCAGACATACGCCGTCAATCGCTTCCTCGCATCGTTTGACACAGCTTCACCCCCATACATCTCTGAAAGCCACATCATCTATTGCCCCTCACTACCCAAATACCGAGAAAGAGTTCACCCATCACCCATCAGCCACTAACATTCGATGGTTGCCTGAAGGACTCACCATGCCTTCAGGTAGCAACAGTACCTGCCACCCCTGGGTCCATCGAATTCGAGGGAGAGTTATGAGAAACGATGTCACCTGCCTCACTTTCATCGCAAGCAGATTTGGCACTGAAAGCATTGTCAGTGGAATTTGCTCCGACTGCGGTGCAGACCCTTGTGAGGATTACATCTTGCAGTTCCTCCGAAAAATTGACCGGCAATGGCAAGAGTATCGCTTTCTGGGGATCAACGATTGCATGGTGAGGGTACTGTTCATCGATATACTAAGCCAGCCTCTTACGATAATGCAAATCACCCGCTGCGAGGTCTGCAATAGCGATACCCACCCAACAATCATGTGCCTCAGGCTCCTTGATGTTTGCTTTGTCAGTGAATGCCCCTTATGCGCCAGCTCCCAACACTATATCGGCGGCTGCCCGATGTTCACCAGAATGGACCTTACGCAGCAAGTTCAGGTGCTTGTCGCGGATCGCGCTGGCCTTCCCCCGCTGGGCAAGGGCTTTCCTTGGTGGGATTATCTTCATCGATGGATGAAGGACCCCGTGTCTGGGAACAAGATTCTTTCTGGGTTTCCATGGTCAGAGAAATTCACCAACGAGGTCAACTCGCGAGAAGGTGGACGATACGTCAAAAGACTTCAAGATGTGTTTGACAAGGATTTTGATCGATCACTTCTGCCGGTGGATGAGAGTACCCGCACGATCAATGGTGTTTACACCAACCTGTGGTGTCCTGCCAACGTTCGAGGCTGGGTTGAAAGCGCCGAGTCAAGCGATCAGTGACTGTAAACACTGAGGTCATGTGGTACGTCTTCAACCCTTTTCCATCAGAGTCACGGCAAGGACTACAAGCTAACCCATCGTTTTCCAGCAACAAAACCTCAAAATCAAGCGAACATTCTCTAGTACTGTGAGCATTTCATACATGGCTTACTGCCGTGCATCTGCAGTCTTGCTGTGGAATCGCTCGTTATTGTTTACGGCCACCCGTCTCTGTCTAGAAAGACAGGAAGATACCCTAGGTAAATTGGGAAAATGGAAGCCAATGGCATTAGCAGGGTTAGCCGAGTGTTTTTTTTACGTAGTCGTGCCGCTATCATCTAAATTCTGTTCATCAAAGGCTCCATTTATCGATTGTGAGCTATATTGTGAATTGCCTCCCATTGACTTCATAACTCCTGATTAACAACCCCAAACCACTAAGTATATCTGGGCACCCTGACGACAATCTTCATCTCTTGTGAACGAAGCAAACCGACCTTCCAAGCAAGCTAACCCATAGACCTCAAATTCCGTACTAAACACGTACACTACGCTGGGGCATTCCAGTCAGGAAAGGTTATTCGAGTTTATACGTCGCCTTTGATTTCATGAAAACGTAAAGAGTAGGCATAGACGTTTTATTTGTATCTCAACTGGTCTGCGGCTACCATTCCTCGTCTTGTTGCGACTAGCTGAAATCGCCCAAGACCATTCTCACTGCCATTCTAACTGCCGTCCTCTGAACGAGTGGGAGAGGGAGACATAGAACACGCAACCTTCAGTCCATTGGCTATACGCCATTCTCGATAGATGTCCGGTACATTGTACGCGCGAAGTGGAAAATGGTCCAAGGTCCAGGGGAACTCGGGCGCTTCGTCTCCAAGGTGGCGAACTGACAGTAGATCAGCGACAGCTTCACCAATCTAGGCACGTCTTGCACCTACAGAACATTTCCCAAATTGCAGACTCCAGGGTGTAATGGAAGGTTGCGTCGTCTACGATCCATTCATCCATTCGATGGAAGTCGCTGCATACTCGCTGTGTGCAACTCTCCCTGGTCACTTGAAGGACTTGGTGGTCCAGTGCCCCAAAGTACGTCGCCACATCGAAGAAATATTGGATTCGGGCGTCGCGGTCGAATGTGTCCACTAGGGATGCTTCTGGGTACTCGTAGGAGGGAATAACGGTTGGCATGGTTGAAGTGGCGTGGGAGACTGAATGTTGTTGCAAAAAGTAGATTGGACTTCACTGAGCTTCCAATCCTGGGTACTAAGAGGGGCATGGGGTGAGTTAGCCAAGTCTGGGGTCGTATTGATCAAAGAACAGTGACACTGGTGGCAACAATAGCCCTGAGATGTAACTGCAATGCTTAAGGATCTTGCCATTGTTCTTTTCGTCTTGAAACTTGGCTTTTTAAGATTCTCGAAGAGTTAGGCGGATTTGTATTGTCGACAAGTGGTACGGTGCTGTAAGTCACGATCAACCTCTTGCGTCGACTTAACCACGCTGCCTTGACTCTTGGAGCCATATCTGACTGTTAGAGTCTATTAAAGCCCACCACTTTATATTCTTTCCAATTTACGATAGGTTGGATGCGCCCCGTCATGCATATCGTACGGGTTGGCTTGACGCGGCCTTGGATCAGTTGAAGAACACATTCATTCATTGACAGCCAAGAGAAAGGTTCTTCAAGTTTACTCAGGCCGGCCAAGAGCAACCTGTGCCAACCGTGTACTTGGGATCTCGTTCAATCAGTCTTGGCCTTTGTGCTGGGTTGCCGTTGGACAAAGACTCGGGGTCATTAGGTAGTAGCACTGCATTGGCCGACGAAGCTGAGAGGGATGATATGGAAAGGTACGTACCTGGTGCGAGGGTCAGAGGAAAAGGCTCTAAGAGGCGCTGAGTCCACTAACAATCGCTAAAGACCACTGAAAGCTGAGGAAACCACTTCAGTCAAGCACCGGTACGTACCCTGGTTTGGCACAAAAGGACCGTGCCGAGCCCAACGGGGACAGAAAAAAGGTACGTACCGACCTCTGGGCCAACAATCAAACCCCCCAATAGGCACCGAATCCACTAACAATCACTAAAGCCCACTGAAGGTCACTAAAGCTGATCCCTCAAATCAACCCAACCCCGACTTGAGGTGTGAGTGGAGCAAGGTACGTACCTGAGAGTTGAAATGTCCAAAAACCCCAACAGGCGACCACTCCACTGAAGTTCACTGAAGCCCATTGAAAGCCGACCCGGTTATCTGGAGTGCGGCATTGACCACAGAGCTCACCATGTCAAGGCCAATTGCGAACAGCATCCTTGTAACCCAAGATTAAAACGGGGGCTTGCAACAAGTGCTTATCTGAGGCGGCTTTCTTCCCAAAACAAATACCCCCGTGGATCAGAGATGCAAACTGCCAGCAACCACATATTGCCTTTAACTCTGAGTTTCCAAAAAAATTTCTGTTTTCTTTCATCATCCAACAACACAGCACACAAACACACACACATGTACACAATGGCTTCTACCTCTTTCGACCACAAAGCGGTTAATCCCCTCAGCCTCGGTGCCCGGCGGGCCCATATGAAGGCATTTTTTATGCACCTTGGTATCTGGGACAGTGCCGAGGTTGCAAGGACTCGCGAGAAGTGTGTTGACTTGTATTGCCGGTTCTTGTATAAGCAGTGGTACACCTCTACCAGCCAGGAATACTTTGAGTATCATGTGGATGCCCTTGTCTGGGACAACTTTCGTAAGAGGTATCCTCCTCCATACCTGTAACTTGAACTAACAGCATTCAGTCAAACGCAAGGAGCTTCTGACCAAGGCTAGTGAATGGCCTTGGCCAAAGACCTTGCCCAAGAAACGGTATGCGACAATCCAAGTCTCTGCGACCTACAGAGATTGGCTCCGTCAAAGGTCGCATGCCGGGAATGACGGAGATCGCGGAGAAACCAACTCCCTAGAGGCTGCCGAAGGCCAAGAAAACTGGATTCCTGCTGCCACTGTCGTTGATGGACTCTTCGAGGAGGCGAAACCCCGTGCCTGGTGATGCCTTGGCTCTCTATACATCTCATTCTGCCAGAGTCGAAAGTCTGCCAAGCGAAAAAGGTATCATCCCAGAAGTCTGCTATCGAAAAGGCTCTTGAGACCACCACTCCTTCAGATGCTAACCTGGCTGCAGTCCACCCAGTAATGTAGTATCATACGGAGACACAGATGGGCCGACCTGAGAGGCGAAGATCTGGACAGAAGGAGATCGGGAGTTGGCTGTCAAAGGGAAGCTCATACAAGTTACGGTGTGATGAGAGAGGCGCTTAGAATGAGCAGCACAGAAATACAATTGTCAAGTTCAACATCGTGCCAGTAATTCTCGACTGAGCTAAACAAGAGGAGACGACTTGGATCGATCCTTATGACGATCCAGAAGAGCCTCTCCTAGTTCGTGAGGACTGGGGGGTCCACAACTGGGATAAGGTGGATGTCTGCCCACTCCCAGATGCGGACCTTTGTGAGATACTCTGGTGGTGGGTCATCAACAAAACTCGTCCTGACCCGCTTACTGGCCCCTTTGAGTTGGTCCTTTCAGGCTGTCTTGGTTTTCATGACCTTGTTCGTCACGACTTTCACAGAATCGCGACGAACAAGCTTATCGATCCGGACATCGTCATTTGCTGGAGGGTCAAGGATGGTTACCCCGTGTCCCTGGTGGTCAGTCCCGTCCCATCAATGGAGAAGACATGGCGTTGTGGGTTTGGGTAAGATCAACCTGGTTGAGAGTCGCCATGTGGCATGAGGATACGTACAGAGGAAGCTCTGTCCGCTTGGTTGACTATCTCCATTCCGCTTCCGGTGGGTGGTTAGTAAGGGGGAGTGGGCGGCCTTTGACACCGTCCCGCGCCTCATTGATGCTTGGGAAGACATTACCAATGACTCAGATAAGGCCGTCGCCGATGCAAGGCTGAACAGGGAGAACATGGATAAGTCGGTTCCTGAAATCCATGCCATTCTGACTCAACCCCGTCTGGAAGTTCCGCTGTTGATCGAGGACTGGGTGCGACGAGAGGGCAGCGACAGCAATACGCTGTTTGCTCGTACTACCCTTGCGCGCAATACCTGGGCTCTTTTTTCGATCGATGATGGACTGTCCTGGTTCGACGCCTTTTCGGCCAAGAACGGCAATGACTAGATATATCCCTCGATCGGGACAATATCTGTATATAGAGAAGAACCGAACTAGGGTAGATCCTGGCTCAGTGGAAGCATTCGGCGCAACCGAGTGTCCCGTATCATCCTCTCCTAAGCACAGGAGCGTTGTACAAAGGGAGGAGTATACAGCTGTCGAAACATCAAGTCCTCGCATGGTCAATAAAGGATTCGATTTCCATCAGGTTCAATTGAGTTGCAGTGCATGTCGATAAGGTCAGGTCGTGGAAGCAAAGCGGCGGCTGATATTAGCCAGTAAGTCAAACTTCACATATATGTAGGTTGTTACTAAGACATCACAGTTCCAGTGCACCAACCCTTCCGCGAAGTCCGTTCCAAGCGGGTACTGCATCTTCCACAATGTCGACTGGAACGGAAGAATCAGTTGAGGGCTGCCTTTTGGCGACGCCGAAAGTATTGGCAAAGGGGAATATCGGAAAGGCATACCCCCGGAACAAATGCTATCATACAAGAGAAACACCACAACATGCAGACGATGACTGCAAAAGCTAGCGATACCGACGATACTCCCCATGTTACCCATCGCCTCAACGCCACTGACAGCGCGACCGGGGCCGTGATCGACGACTCAGACACATTTTGCAACCCTTTGTTGCCGTCCCCTGGAGACGCTTTGATTCTCCCAAGACAAATAACACGCACACAATCTTCTCCTGAGATCCGTGCCGACAGCTTATCGAAAGTACATCAGATGCGAGAGAATCATGGGCAATCCCAAATAACAATCCTACTGCGAGTTGCCCTCGATGTTGCCACGATGTGCCCTGCGATTTGTGACTGCTTACATATTCTTAAGCTAATCTTTTCTTCAAGCTTTCAATCTCCTTATCCTTTTCACAAAGCTCCATAGATAGTCTGACAATAGTGTCCCGGTATCTCTCTACTTCCGCTGTGGCTGGTGCATCTACATTGATATTTCCATGGGCAGAGGTGGTCGTTTCAGCGTTAGCCTCGGTCAAGGACGGCAATTCATTCAGACGAGCCGGCCACACCCTGCCCTCCACATCCCAGAAGTTGGAGAACACGTCGTCCATGATCTGTATGCGCTCATCCGGAGGCAGAACGCGGATGTCGTGGGAGCGATCCAGATCACTCTGGTACTCCTGGACAGACTTGGATCCCCGCTTGCCGTCATGGATATCGCGGGCGAATTCCGTCCGCCAGGGGAATGCGTCAGGAATTGGCTGACCCTTGGTGTGTGGGGTGGTCAGGAACTTGTACAGCCAAACCCACCAGGGCACCTCAGTGAGGATTGGCGGCATGCCAGCGCGATCTGTGACAAGTAACTTGACCCTTTGCCCCATGCTGAGATCCATGAACTGGCCGCAGGCATCGGTGGCATGGCTCATGTTATTGCAGAAGACACATCCCCGAATGTCACCACTGATGGTGGTGATGCAGCCCTTCAGGGTATGGGTGTTGCTGCCACACCCAGCACAGAGAATCGCGGCCACGCTATCCACCTCGGTGACGCGGGGCAGCGGATCACCTCGGGTTCTGGTTCCCCTGCTTCGGCGAGGCTTACCGAGAGATGAATATGCCTCAATCCTCTGGTTGCGACGCCTGGCCTCAGCGATGCGACGCTCGGCCTCGGCGATGCGGTCTGGCGGGGCTGCCTCAGCTGTCTTAGCGACCTGACGTGTGTCCAAGGGTGCCTGGGGAGTCGTGATGATCTGGTTACCATCGGGTTCGTCTGTCCTCGCTTCGAGCTCGTTGGTAAGGACACCGGTAACCATGCGGTTCTGGGGGCCGCGGCCGTGAGACGTGTTGACAAGACCGATCTCGGCATTCGAGTTTCGGCGCTGCATTGAATCGACGATTGACATGCCAGAGTCACTCTCCCGTTTTTGAATGCCATGCTTGCTGGCAAGAGAGGGACCGATACTGGTCAAGTCTTGGTTCTTGTCTCGGCCCATGTTTCCATGGCCGGCACCGGACTGCTGGCTTTGTTGTTGACCGGTAGTCTTTCTCGGCATCGCGTAGTACTGTTGGAGAAGAGTAAGTTGGTGATCGATCGATTAAGATTTGCAGTCTGTGGCGACTTACCTTGGTGGGAGATCAGAGCGTTATTATTGTTTGTGAGAGACAGTGATGTTTAGTGACACTTTGAGAGATGACCATCACCCCACATACCTTACTGAAGCTGTGTAACCATTGCTCGTCAGTTATTGCTTGCCGACAGCGCCTTTCAGTGGACCACCCTCTACAATGTCCCAGTGTAAAACAACCAAACTATTAACGCGCTAGATTCACTGGCGATCACTAAAGTCCACTGTAGCTGACTGGAAAAGCGGGAGCGAGGGAGAAGTACCTAGGTACGTACCCACCTCAAGGACCAAACAACCAAAGCCCGGGTCACTAACAGTCACTGAAGTCCACTGAAAACATTGGAGGTCCCCTATAAGTTCCCAAACACCAGGAGCAGGCCCAAAAAGCGTGGGAACCAAAAATCCTGTCCCGACCAAGGTGTCAACAGAGCTTGTCTAATTCTACACAAAAGCAACGAATTTCACATTACTTGACATAATACCCCACTGGCTTTGATTCAGCTATATAGTTTGCAGCAAATACAAATTCTTTTTGAGGTTCACTCCTTTGGCTACCCATATTCCCTCCACGGTCTGAAAATTTACAGTACCTTACCGCAGCCAGGATAACCTTCAAGGGCGTGGGATATGAGCGCGATGAGGGAATGGGCGATTTTCGTAAAACCAGTAGTAGCTCCAGACATCAGGGAGCGACCGGACTTTTGTGTCCACCGGCAACACCTTCGGATCCTTCGTCGTATCAAAGTCCGTCTGGACCTCCCCAACTTGCTTCCCGCGTTTGCCCTCAAACACCTCCATCGCAAACTTCGCTGTCCAGGGGAAGCCAGTCGGGAGAGGGATATCCTTTGTCTCCTTTGCTTCGAGGAACTCGTACAGGAGATTCCACCATGGTGCCAGCCCAGGCATACCAGCCCGCATGGTTACAAACAACTTGACCTTTTCCGCTAGGGACAGCTGCTTGAACGTGTCGCAGTCGTCGGTACGATGATCGTCTTTCTCGCAGAAGAAGCAGGCGTTGATGAATCCGTGCACAGTCGTGATGCAGCCAGCTACTTGGTGACCTTGGCCTTTGCAGTTTGCGCAGGGCTTGCCGTCGGAATTGCCTTTCTTCGAGATTATACGGTCCAGATTTCGCGACCATAGTGGCATTCTTGGGCGGGCATTGTTGTCGGACATGGTAATCTTGTACATGAGCTTTTTGGCCTTTGCGTAGGCCACGCGGTCAGACTCGAGACGCCGTTCTCCTTGCTCATCACCGATGTGATGGTCTTCCTGACTCTTCTTTACCCCGTTTCTCTCAGACAGAGTTGGGGTATCCATGATTCGGTCTCGGTTCCTATCAGGTCCAATGTTGCCTCGGCCGGACCCGGAACATCTGTGGCATGCGTCAATACAATCGATCTCTGTGTCTTGGGTGCTGAGAAATACCTCTCCCGTATTGTCTGCTTTTCAAGTGCGGAGTTATCGGACATGGTGGATGAGTGCGTAAAGGACTGTTGGCGGATGGACTGTCGCTTCTTTGCTGTGATGGTGGTGTGGAGACTCTGTTGAGGATGCGGAATCAAACGGTAACCCCACTGTGGTTAGCGTAGAATTCACAGCACCTACCGCTGCACTCACTGTAACCGACGACTACTGCACTGTAACAATCTGTATTGTATGCCTCTCCTTGTCAATTAATCCTCTCAGAATCATGCCCTTTGCAGATATGTATTCATCTTTCTGGTGATTAATAAATGTTCTTCAGTCATTAAATGATGCATTATCGCTCATCTATGGAAAAATATCCTGGCGTAGCGTCTACATCTTATGAGATGCGCATTGAGGGTGAAGGACTCATCTCACAACACAAGTTGCAAACTTCACCAAACATCTAAGTCAGTTAGATAATGATGAGCATTGTCCTCTGAGATTCAAATATTTTGTAATTTTTACATTATGTCAAGCCGATTGCTGGATTCTGCATCTTGACTGCAAGTCTGAAAGTCACTTGTCTCCTGTTTGCGAGACATGTCAATTGCCAAGCTAAGATTTCTTTGCCTTTTCGGTTGATTATCCTGTAATCAAATCTCGCATGATCTTATAACTGGTGATCTCGCCATGATAAACATCAAAATTATGGTATCGAGAGACCGGTCACTAATATTGAATGCCTGCGAATACATCTCAATTCACTGTGTGGTGTACGAGGCCTGTCTTCTTTGATGGGTCCTATCATCGGTCATGACCAATGATCAAGTATGTGTCGTCTCAGAACGGTAATATCCGAACGCTAATCCAACAATCCACACTTAAACCTTGCAAGTTTTGGCGTTAATGCGCTACCCTGGAGTCTCCCTCGTTGATTCACAATAACCTCAATTATGATTTTGGATGCCGTGAACGATGTGAATTCTACTGAATTCTTGCTTATATGCGGTTTTAATGTTGCAGGAGTCACGTAATGTGAGCGTACATTTGACCCAGCCGAGAGAACTAGGTGGCATCTTCTGTAAAATACAATGTATTTCAACGCTTGCAAACTCAAGAAAAAGCATTCCATATATGTCTCTATCTCGCTGTCGGTCTCAAGCGCTTCACAGAGCGTCTCGTTACACAAACCGGGGCAGGGTAGTCTGTTTACCCGATGCCCGATCTCGCTTGTTTCTTCTTCACCGTCTCTCTTCTGTTGATCAAGCCTTTCATCGCGGCCTCCTATCTCACCATGTCTCGACCGTTTCAAATTTTTTTTGCGTCTTTCCGCTAATGAGGAGTGTTTCTCTCGCACCACAACGCCGCCCATTCAAGTAGATTGATTGTACGGCTTCCATCACCCACGAACACGACTGGTATTGAACCACAAGCAAATTGAGCTTGGGCCACCTGATCTGACTTGATTCTCAAGCTTTCAGTCTCCATTTTTCTTCTTCTCTCACCCCTCCGCACCTGCATCCGAGTAAGCATTCATGCTCACATAAGGCACGTGTCCACTGACATTTCACAGAAGCTATCGACATGGAGACTAAAAACGAGCACTCGCAGGAAAGCGGGCAGCTGGCACTAAACACCGAACGAGAGGCTCGTCGATCTCGCAGCCCTCGCCCATCTCTTAAGTCTAAAGCCGTCCGATACCACTCCCCACCCCAAAAGCGGCCTTCCTTTCCCACGCTTTTGGGTACGCCACGTTTCACGCCCCTTAGCTCAACCAAGATGCCTCTTCAGGGGAGACAACGCGAACGTACTCCACCAAGGCAGCAGACTGCGCCAGGTAGACTTAGCTTCAAGCAAGGAGGACACAGCACCGCTTCTCACGCGACAGTCGAAAGTCGCCTTATCGAGGAGCTGGGAGCCCGCGTTGAGTCCCAAAATAAGGACATTCGCAATCTCTTGGAACGAGTCACCAAGATCGAGGTCGAGAGGGACCGTGAGAGTGAGAAGAACCGCAAGATCGAGGAGCAAGAAGGTCTCATCAAGACACTGCAGGAAGAGAATCGGATGTTGAAGCGACGGCTGGATTCATATGCCCCTAGCCCTCATGTCGAATACACTCCTTACCCAAGCGACGCATGAAGCATTCCGATACATCGGGCACTCTACTATCTTGACAGATTGGTACAGAAGGTTTAGGGGAGTGCCACAAATGTAACCAAATGACAATATGCGGATGTATGTCTAGATGAATGACAAACAGACAGCCCGGACAAATCTCAACTGCAAATAACACTTCTAGCCCACAACCTCTGTGAGGCACAAATCGAAGCCCCTTAGCAATTTCCCAAACACGTCAACATATGTATCACCTGCAGTATTTGTGGTTAACGAAGTGCAGCATCGGACCACGAAGCACTGAATCTTAATCGCATGAGCAAGGCGGGAGCTTCAGATTCTCCAGGGCTTACTGCGACAGCCCAATCCCGAAGCTGACCAACATGACCGCCGCCCTTGAAGCTGGACGAGCTTGCGACCAGGCTCTCAATGAAGGATGGGAAAGGCGACGTAGTCAACATCAATTATTCCATCCCGGCCTCGGTTTAATATACAACACGGCGCCACGGACGGTCTCGGCCGTCTCCCGGTACTGGTCCTGATCTGACTTATGGTCACTGGGGAATTCTCAACCTGTCCATGGGCTTACTGGAAACGACCCAGGTGCCCGACATGGAGACACTCGACGCGCGTGCCCGGCATTTTTTAATCTTTTAAAAAGACTTCAAACGCTATATCCACGAAGAAAATTCCAAACAACCGTCCCCGTGCCCAAGGAAGTACCAAGTCCGCTTTCGAGAGGCAACACGCTCGGGATGGATACCGGTGCAGACAGGAACGCCGCTCGCGTGCAGCGGCCAGTGAAAGTCTTGGTGATCACCCCGAGGGCACCAATGGTGTGCAGGTCGTTGAAGGCCACCCCTCCGACGTTGGTCATGATGGCATGCCTGGTGATCGAGACGAAGCTGGTACTCTAGTCTAGCAAACCGCTGAGGCCGACTTCTCATCTCGAGGTCACCAGGCTCGCTCACGATATGAGCACATTGGCAATCGCCGACCCCGCTGTACAGTAGCGAGATGCTCACATTGAGTGACCAAATTCCGTTACGGCGATGCCGCACCTCCATAACTGGTGTCATTGGATGAGGAGGTTATGGATATCCCATGGAGTATTGCGCTTTCTGCAGAGCTGTCCTAACTTTGTAGGGAGTTGGAGATCACATACGCCTCTTCTAGTAGATCCACGAGCACCAAGTTAGTGTGCTTGCGTGAGGATGTTATAACGCCTTACTTCAGTCTCTGGTTGAGAACAGTGGTTTAACTAGTAAAATTGAACTATTGCCGTCACCCTTTGTTCCATGCTCAAATCATCGTGTCTTTGTTCATAATCCCGTTGACCAATTGACCATCTCCCCTTTTCCATATTTACTTGACAATAAAACTGGGTGTCCTTGACGTTAAACACCCAAAAAATAATTTCATTTGGCTCATTTGACTCACGTACAATCTACCCTCTCAAGAGTTTTATCCTTCCTGACATTATCACTTGATCCTTTGAGTTATCATGCGGATGTCGTGTCGTACTTGATGACCAATCACCCTAGGCACATTCCATCTCAGTACTTCGACTCATCTTTCAGCAGACAAGCACTCAAGCTAAGCTGCTGTCAGTATATTTAGATACTTAGTCAGCCAGTGATTCACGCTGCAGTCAGGCGGGCAGTCCAACATCTCTCCACAACCCCGCGGTTCAATTTTCTTTTTCTTTTTCCTTTCCAAATCACAACTGCGCCTCGCTAACCTCATTTTTTTTTAAGAAGAAAGCAAATATCCACAAAGACACACACGGAAAACGCTTCCGCTACTGAGAGAATGAGTTCTGAGCAAGTTACTTTCGATCCGGCACAGTTGCCGAGAGTTGACAACCTGGGTCAGCGACGTCGATATATTGAGCAATATATCCGGAAATTCAACAAGGAGCTGCTCCCAGAGATGGCGCTGGCTCGCGAAGGGGCCATTTTCTTTGTTTCTCGCAAGTACGAAGAACGTGGCAAGCTGGAGGCACCATTCGTGTACTTTGAGTACATGGTTGATAAGTCGCTGTGGCGCAACATTTGTGAGTTGTTTGGTCTGACGAATGTTTTACATACTAACCATTTAATAGTCATGGACCTTGGCAAAGATGCGCCTGCCTGGCCTTGGAAGAAAGGCCCCGGTTCCGAAGATATGAGCGGCGGGATGTCAAGCACCTACCGTGAATGGCGAACTAAGTACGGTTTTCCCACAACGCCTCAGCAGGAGGCAGACACTCTCGAGACCGCTTCTCTGGTACCTCCCCAGGTACACGCTCCGCTTACTCTCCCTGTGGCGCCCCAGACCGCGCTCCTCAATACCCAGCATCGGATCAAGAATCCCGTGGCCCTCGACATGGCTGCGCGACAGCGGTTCTGGGAGATATCCTCCGGTGACGAGTGTATTGGTGTCCTTGCTGGCCCTTTCGCTCTCAACCTTCCCGTGTGGCTGGACTTTGAGAAACTTGTTGTTGGTGAGGATGGCCGTGATATCGACGCCATCAACAACGAGATCCTTGAGTCGGCCGTGGCTATCTCTTGGGAGGTCTCAGGTGGCAAGCCTGTCCGCCTGGTGGTTGGCTTTAATGATGAGGCCAGATCGGGGCTCCCTGCGGTCCAGCAGTACCTGTTCGAGGTTTGGTGTGACGTGGTCGCATGGTTCTGTTCTGTGGTGATGGGAGCTCCGTTCAGATTGGCCGCTTACCTGAGGGCCATCCAAGCCATCAATCCTTTGATGGATCGGACACCAGACGTCCATAAAGCTCAATCTTTGTGGCAACAGTCCCTCGCCGACAGTGATCTCTTTGCCAGCCGAGCCCGCGAACTTCAAGAGTACTTCGACTTTTGGTCCCCGATGATCCGAGAGGTCATCCAGCAGCCTCTGGGAGTGGCTGAGGACGGCATTGCGGGTTGGATTTGCAGTGAGGAGGATTCAGATGAACGGACCAAGCGTTTCAACGTTGCTCGAGATGTTTGGCTGTCCAGCTCTTCGGACCCCAAAGCCATCCGCCGAGCTGGCAAATGGGCCCAGAACTTCCTTGCCACCATTCAGCCCTCCGTTTAGAAGCGAGACAAGTTGATGAGTTATATATTGGTGGTCGAATGAATCGATGGATCATGGGCAGTTTCTGAGACTTGATGTGACATTTGTTAAAACGCTACTTTAATTATTTCGATATGTTCTTGTTGAAAGGATGTGTTACCCGTATAACCCACTGCCTGTCATAAACTGTATGAAATGGTCTTTTCCCGGTACAAGTTCTGGATCTCTTGCATTCCTTTAGAAAGATTAATTCCACAAATCTCTTAAATCCCCATCTCCCCCTTATTCGCCACCCTTGGCTCTTGTCTTGAATTAACCTCCCGTTTGTCGTCTTGAAGTATCCTCCCACTTCATAGAAGACATTTCTTGTGGTGCTGGCAACCGGTTGAAGTGAACAGGATGTTGGTGTAATAACTGAGCTGAGAGCCCTCCTTATAACCCGGATATACTGTTCTTGGAGGGTCAGGGACTGTTCGCGATCTAGAATCACCAGACTCTCTATTGACTGACCAGACCTCAATGGACCATTGCGATGCGGTGATTGAACAATTGGCAGTGATGTCGACGTATCTGCGCCGGACTTGTGAGCTTGAAAGACCAATTATGTAGGGCGAACGCTGCTCACAGCCATAATGTTTGTTCCCGCACGCGAGATATCAACAGGGACCAGAGGTCAACATAGGGCCAGACATACCGCCGACCAGCTTGCCGATTGCACTGAATTATGCAGACCGAAGCTTTCTTCACTTCTTCGACTGAAGAACCTTGCTGAGGTGTTTGTCCTGCTCATCTCAGGCGATCTTGGTGTAGAGGTAGTTTGTTGTTCCCTCCGGGGGCTCCTAGCGGAGGGCTTTCCCTCGCTGCGCTCGTGTAAAGGGGTCCGTGGGTAATTATCGTGAAATATGAAGATTCCAAGGTAAAATTGGGCTGTCGCAGTTCTCATCTTCTTAGCGATAGGTCCCGTCGTTTTTGATCACGGGTCTTTGATCGCACGTTGGCGACTGTAGATGGATGCGCTTGTGATGGAGGGGCGGCTTTTGATTTGATTGGGCACTCAAATGGGATTCGGTGCATCGTACAGTACGTGCACGGTGAGAAACACTGGTCTGTGTTTTGTCTCCATTTTAGGTTTAGTCTGTTTGAGGGGTGTCCGACATTCCACCGTTGATCAGGCTGACGCGAACCAGACCTCAACCTCTTCCGACCCATCACCTCTCACCAACAAATATGCTGGCAATTCATCACCACCATCTGACTATTCTTGGGACGATTCCGTCACATATGATCTTAACTTGGATACCGGTTCTGAACGAGTGCGCTGCATTGGCTTTTAAGGCAGACCTGCGTCAGTGATTTGCACGTCATCTTAGGTTCAGGCTGAGATGTTTCCGGGTATCGTTCTTTAATCTCAGGGAATATGTTATCGCCGAGAAGGCGTCTTCAAGGCCATTTTCAAGAAGCACGTATCGATGCCGTTATCAAGCGCAGAGTTTCCCCTCCATGGTCCTGACTCCGAGGCAACACGCACCTCTAAGGGGCGGGAGGTCACAAGACAATCGCAACGGGAAACAGAGCTTTCAGCATCCTCCTCGTCCCCAACTGCATCCACCCAGACCTTTGATGTGTAATCGGTTGGTACCCGCTTGGCCTGACGCGCGCGAAAAGTCATTGCAGGGTGCATCAGAACAATTTCCGCTTGTCTGGCTCTGGCTATTGCCACGTTGAGCATTGTGTCTCGTCCATGAATCCGGGCTTCATGGTTCTCGCCATATCGAGGAAAACCACATCTGGTCACAGCAATGTGTAGCCCAAGTGAAGTGGCGTTCACAGTGACTTGCATGTGGAGCTGGATCAGCATGAAGACGTTACCATCGACAGTGTGACCAAGTTTGTGGCCTTCTGGAGCTGTCCGTTGACCTTGTGGCCGACAAGGAATTCGGGGCCGGAATGGTGTCCAAGGAGGTTGCAGAACGACGCCTGAGTTGAGACGATAGGACAACAGCTTGGACCCTGACTTCTCTGCAGCTTCATCTTTTGTCGAACCAATGGTAGGGTTCGCGACTGGCATGTCTTCCGCCTGTCACCGTCGCTGGCCGCTCCTTGACACGGTTGCCTTGAGAGGATGAAATTGTCGCGCGTTGCCGTCGATGACCGGACCTGCGTTTCATGGACGGATAAACCGAGTTGAAAGCTAGGAATCGATGGATGCTTTTAATCACTGCGACATTCGAAACGGGGCGATTTATATTCCCTTGTCCGCAGGATACAGGTAAGCCGTTCATGCAATGCTTCGAGAGCAGGGGTGGCAGATGGGCGGATGTATCTGGAGCCAAGAGGCGCCTATTAGCGAAATTTGTGAACTCAAGGGGGGAGAGACTTACACGGGTGAAAGCTATGGATGGCTCGAACATAAGTCTGGAGCCTCCCAGTGCCTCTACATGAGAGGAATGGCGATGGCGAGGCTCACTTGACCCCTTTTAAGAAGATACCGGTACAGCGTGAGCTCTTCGGTGGTCGACGACACTCCGGATTCGTCGCGCGGCTTCTACGGACCTCTGTCGCTGTGCTTCCTCTTTGGCTCGTATGGTGGTGCATTCGATCCGAGGCAAGGCGTCTCACCGGGATTCAGGAATCAGGCCGTAATGGATGGCGCACCTCCCGAATTGGGGTGGAGTGTACGAGAAACACGTGGGGAAGATGCTAATAGATATGCTTCTTTTCAGGACCAATAGCGGACGACATGATGGCCAAATCCGGAATATGTACATCGTGGCTGCCCGGCGCACGGCAAGTACGACCGAGACCACGCTGCTTGACTATCCAAGCCTTGTTCCCTGAGATCTATTGCATCGGCGCATTTCAAAGGGTATATGTGGCCTGTCGGGTGGCTTGTGTATAGTGTCGAGTCGGCAAGGGGCATCGGTCTTGGGCAATTAGAGTATAGTGACAATCGTCAATGGTACATCTCAAGAGCGACCCTCGGAAAGGGAGGTGGTAATGCGGAACCCCGCTCTGAAGTGTTGCTTTGTGAGGACGTGGGGGAGGATGTATCTCATCGCTCACCAATGGTTCGGGATGAGAGCATTTGCTAATGATCGACAACCATGTCGGGCAGTAGAGTCCTTACGTGAGTATGGGAGTGTCAAAACCTAGTGGCACATACTGCAAGCCCCGAATCCACGCTCCAGCTAGCCATACTTGGAGAACCGATGATCCACCGCCGGGGGTGAAGACCGTATCAGCCGAACAAGTGTCGTGAGTGGTTGAGGCGAAGGTGAGAGCAACAGTGTACGAGGTGGAGCGAGGGATACCGGCATCAGCTTCAGGAGCTGGTTGGTGGATGTGTGAGGCCTCGATGGATCCAGAACACATTCCTCAAATTCGAGTGACAAACACGTCTCGATGATGCGATGGTCCGTTGGTGGTGCAGTGGCTGACGATTGGAGTCGGAAAGTCCCAGGTTTCGTGGCAGGATTGATCTCTTGCGTTGTCAGTCCAATCCGGCAATCAAGCATCTGCTAATAGTCCAAGATCGACGCAGAGCGAGGTACCGTTGGGTTAGAAGTCGGTTTGGTGGTGTTCGAATCAAGGCCCTGTGACAAATGGCTCAAAGATAGGCACGGCTTAGCGTTTTGGAAAGATAATCTTCAAGATTGTCATCAGCAGGGGGTCAAGGACACGGCTCGGGGGTGCCTCTACTTCAAAGATTTCGACTTTCTGGGCTGACGCAGTGAGGGGGTTGATGGTGCTTTGTGAGTCGCCAGACCACAAGTTTCCTTCGTCGACAACATCGTCGCATTCAGAGCGACAGAGGAGTCGCGGGACTACGATTTGAGCAAAGCATGCTGCATCCCGTTGGCCGCGAGGAAGTTCGCTGGTGGAAGAGTAAAATTGGGGGCAATGAAGAAGCAAGAGAGTCGGCCTGAGTTTGGAAAAGATTTGCAAGTGAAGGAAGAGTGAGTTGACCCGATTGGCGGTGCCTATTTGTGTCTCCCCAGGATTGCAAACCGAATGTGACGGCCGAAGATGTTCCCGAGCAGAAATAAAGACGCGAAGCGCGTGGAGGGTAGACATGGGCGGTGGACTTGGCGGATTTGGTCGAGGGTGATAGATTAAACTGTGCTGAGTGGTCTGCCCTGGTGGCGATGACCCAGGTGGCTAATGAAACCGACCGTAGTGGCAAAGCGACAGTCGCGTCAAAAAGATGGGTTATCGGGACCTGGGTACAGCTGACCGGGAGGAATTCGTCAGCAGCGGTTTGCAACTCGGTGTACTGTATCGAAGGTTGGGACACGATGGATGACGTGATTAGATGAGTCGTCTTTTTGTTCAGCCAGCAACCTGTCAGAGGTGTTGATTGTTCAGTGTAAGTGCCTCTCCGTCCATGAACATGTAGGAAATGGAGTGCTCCTCTTGCGTGCCATGATGAACATGAGCCTTCCTTGATCTTCGCTTATGCCTTCAGACATTCTCTTGCATTGCCCATGGCCAAACCCCAAGCTGCCTGTAGTTGAGGTGAGTGGTACGTGCTGTGAGTGCTTAGGGCGGTGGATGAGGCCATTTTGGCGTGCGCAAGGCAGCGTCGCTTGATTGAGAGGGAATTTGGCATAGATGTATGAGGATAACTCATCCCTGTCGCTAACTGTTGCGGCATCTAAACAAGGTTCTTGTGGGAGCCATGTTGCGACGGTATGGCCTTCATCCCTCCGTTACTGGGATTCGACGACCTGTTCAAGGTCTCTTTCGAGAAGGATCTCATGAGATGGAGAGTTTCACCCATCGCAATTGTGAAGAACCGTTTGTCAATTGGCCTTGTCGTGGCAATTTGGAGCCGGAGGAGACTGGGTGAGAATAGATCGTTTGGGCGCCGCCTACGTCTTTTGCTGGGACCAAAGTCACACTGAAAATGCTGTCTTGTACTTGATGTACTGAGCGATGCCCCGATAGCGCTGTTGGTGCAACGGGCTCTGAAATGAAGCAGTGGCGAGGATCTGTCTAATGGCTCGCAGACTTGATCTGCGGTTGGGAGATGGTCGACAAAGGAGACGCATCAAGTGAAGAGCCAGCGAAAGAAGTAGAGGGAGAACCTTGTTCGAGGAAGGGGCCATTGCTCTGGCGAAGTGCGTGTCCTGTATCGCGTTGAGGAGAGTGGTCGGGGTTGTGACCGGGTTTGCTTGCATGACCCCATGTTGGTGGGACATCTCCGAGCAAACAATCTGTATGTCGACCTCGATTTCTCTATGGTCACATCTTCGGGAGCCGTGGCTCTTGACGATGTGAGAATGGCAGTACTGTATTCAGCGTCGATGAACCATTGACATCAGAGCCCAAACAGAGTTCCGCAACACATCAATCTCTGCAACAAGTCTGTGCCAGTCTTCGGTCTCCTCATTTTCAGCTGGATTGTTGGCTTTCATCCATTGATGGAAGGGGGGAGAAGACTGTTCGATGTGCGAGTTCGGATGAGTAACGGTAGGTTGTGATGGTCGAAAGAAAATGAGAGTTGAGCCATACTCCAAGCGTCGAGAGGCCTTCCTTGGTGGAATCTCAACGACAGCACCCCTCGAATGGCGGAACGGAAGATTTCGTGAGGTAGACCATCTCCTCCATTATTCCTTGTCTGCCTCCATCTTCGTGCTCAAGGGAGCCGAGAGTATAGTACGGACATACGTCGTTCTGTCGGCAGATGCAGCGGTGGAGGAAGCTCCGGTAACGTGGTCGACCGAGGGACTACGGCTATTGTTGTGAACAGCGTCAAGGCTTTGTGATGGTCGATCAAAGGTCGCCTTTCGCATGTGTGGCCTTGTGAAGTTTGTGGAATGTGCGGTGAATATCTCCTTTGACGCCGATTAATATCATGTTTGCGTTTGGCAAGCTATCTTTACTCACCTTGGAAGCAGTCCTCTCGGAATTCCTTTGTTCTCTAGGCTGGTTGGTTGTCGATTGTGGGCTCCGGTTCCTGTTGATTTTTCCGCGTATGTTCGAGGCAGTTCAGGTTCTTTCATCGCGGATGCCGCCTTCATACCCTCCATAAGACATTGACCCAAGCTCCGTATCGTCAAGGGAGTGTCGCGTCGCAGGGCGGAGTTGTCCGTCAACGTTGCACAGAGTTGTCACGGATCTGGGCTGAGACGAGCTGTGACGATTCTAGATTGAGATCAAAATGTGAAGAGTGATGAATCAAGTGCTGAAATGTTCATTTCTGTTGTCGTGCATGAGTGATTGCGAAATCGGCATGAAATTCATTGTTTGGGTCAAGTTAAGCGGGATGATGTCGAGGGTGATTGAGGTGGAGGCCGAACTTATTCCAGCAGACAGAACCTAACGGTACAGGTGAAGGCCAGCGGTGCAGGTGCCCACTGTAATCCTTGGGTGCCACACGGCTGCCTTGGACACCAACTTGAGTCAATCCCGAGTCTTACCGCAAAATCAGTCATTTATTCAACCGTTCACTCACCTTCTAAAGAGCTTGCCAAAGTGAACTCACTATAATTTGCCCTATTTTACTCTAAACTCATCCCAATTTACGTAAGCTTTCTTTCCTTCATAATAGAGGGCAGCATTGAAAATTCAGTTCTACTACTGCCATGACGTCAAAATTTTCTGGTTTTTTCACCCACTGAGCCCTCATCGCATCAGCAAGTTTGGCCGACAGGATATGTGCGACAAGTTTATAAGAAACATTCAATATTTCGAGTTATTAAACGTATTAATTACATATTACAGTCCATAACCATGATACGTCTGTACAAGCATCGCAGATTCGAGGTACTCCTTGCTCTTACCCTGCACCATCAAGATTGCCGAGTCCCCACTACCCCAGATCGATCGATCAACAGACCCACAATTTGTTTTGACGCGCCACGTTTCTACGCGTCGCACTCTTGATGAAGGAAGGTATGGCAGCCTTTGTCGCTCTCGAGCGCTTCAGTAATGCTGGCCAGCTTTGTCTTTTCGCGATCGAACAATAACATAAGGCGACTGTGTACTTGAATGGCGGAGAGGCCTATTTGCGACGCAGTGAATTTCAAACAAATTCACGCCACAGAAAATCATACGTAGACGTATTCTGTGAATCGCAGTCACTGACATGCCAACAATAAAAGCAGGCACCGTGATATGAGACGAAAGAATGCCCATCTTGGTCCGACAAATATGCCTAAGATGTTGATATTCACTCTCTCACGCCCCGGACGGTACAAATCAAGCCAGTCAATGGCCAATACAATCGACGCACCTTAACCTCACGAGTCACGACCATCTCCGAATGATGCAGCCCACCGAAAGCTCGCAATAAGGGAGGCTAGGGTGAAACAGAAGACCTTGAGTTCAAAAAGATTTCTCGCCATTCGAGCTTGGAGTCAAGACGAGCGGTATGGTATATGGGGGCCGGGCTGTGAAACCACGATAAGCCTAACTACCTACGCGCGACTACTAGAGGTACGTTCAAGAACGAAATAGAGCCGCGTGCCTTGACCGATTATTGTTCTCGACTGACAAGATTGGCAGGCCTACTGTGTCCCTCGCAAAGTATCCCATCACGACGTCGGGCTGCTGCATCGACCATGTTCATCGACTCGTGGATCTTGAGCCTCGGACGCATCTTGACTACAGAACGCAACTGGAACGCTTTATAGCCTACAGTTCCTCGAAAAAAGACATGCGTTCAACATACACAGAACCGGAGAAACGAAAACTACAATTCAGCACCATGTTCAGAGCTCAGCATCCACCGCTCTGGCAGCACGACATCGAGTTACAAATCGCATCTTGCTAAAGTCTTCCCCAACAACAGCCCATCACTTTGAGACCCAGGCGTCCTCAACAACATTCCGGTCGCTTCCGTTGATGCACTTGAGTCAACAGGAACCGACACGTGAACACGTCCAGCAATACGAACTCGAGGCCCCTGAAGACATCTCCTTGCAATCAGCTGTACGCACACGATACACCCCGAGAATTCTTGTACTGCACCGCCCGACTAACGACCATCTCAAAGGCTACCCTTCGATAGCGGCGGCATATCCATGGCTCTCTAGGCACCTGTCGAGGCGCTACCTACGATCCCGGCCAAATTGAGTTTCAGCGGAACCGTACTTGACGGTATGTCGATTACAGAATATCTGAAGATACCACTTCGCGCCGGAACTCTCCCTCAACGACAACACCTCACGATGAATCTCAGCAGAGAGGGACCTCTGCTCGAAAAGGCAGAGCCAGACATTGAAACCAATTCACGACCGGAAGGAAATTTTTGACGAGCCTCTCAATCAACGACAATCATTCTGAATGGAAGGGTTAGAGGGAAACGAGGCCAAAGGGAAAGGGGACAGAGGAATGGGGGAGTTTGAGAGAGGAGTTGCAGACACGTAGAATGACAATTCTGTGTAAATTCTGTCCCTTGCTTAGTTAGCCGTCAACTGTATATCTCAGTTTATCGTTTTTGAGTTCACGAGTTGAGGAATCTCGCAGCAGACTTGGTCGCCCGTCTGCAAGGGAGACTTGACTGAGCGTTAGCTCAAATACGAGGAAAACCTTCGCAGTAGTGAGCCTTTCGGCAGTCAAGTTCTTGGTCTTCTGCATGTAGGTTGTCTACACAAGAACTAGCCATTGTCGTTCTGTGCATTATCTGTCGGTGTCGTATTGGTGTTGACGTCTGGGCGGGCCAGACCTCCATTGCACGTTTTCGTGGAGGAGAGAACACGGAAAAGGGGCTGTGATATTTTGCTATTGTGACTGGTTCCATTGCATCAAAACTGTCTATCATTCTACCACATTCTACATCCTACAGCATTATGAAGGGTCTGCCTCTTTCTCCATTGGCCGTCTGATCCCTTCATGAAATCACGAATCCATGGCCAGTGAAAAGGAACCTCTTATCACACAGCCTTCACAGTTTCTACCTGTGGAGTATTGTTGAATCCTGGACGCTCCTCACGCATGCTATATGTTTCTGAGTTCCGCCTCGAGTTTGGCGAGACGCTCTGAGACTTTGAGAGTCTCAGTTTCGCGAGTCTCCAGTCTGGCTTTCAAGTCATTGATAAGTTGTGCTTGCTCGGTTTTGAAGTTGCTGATTTCTTGGCTTAGCTGAGCATTTTCTTGACGTAGCTGACTGACTTCGTCTGTAGCTAGTCCCTGACTAGACGTGACTACGCCTGGGGTCTGAACTTGTGGCTGTGCCAACGAGTCTCGTTCAACAGGGTCTGGAGACTGTGGTGTAGCGTCATTGTCCGGAGGAGAGAAGACATCATGAGCCGAAGCGGATTCGTCTGTTACCACGCTACCATCAACGTCGCTCGCTGGACTAACCCCCCTGTGCTGTTGTGGCCGACGTAAGTCTCGGGACACAGGTATCCCAGGAGCTTGATGAGGCGCTGGGACAAGATTGGAGGCCGTGGTATGACCCTGTCTCATAGATCGCTGATCAGAGGCAATGCTTGAGTCCTGGGGTCGGCAAATTCCTCCGCTGGGGCCTGTACGGGAAGGATGGCGGCTGAAGAGCGAATAAGGGGCATAACGAGAGCCCTGGTGGTTCCGAGGTCGGCGAGCTACACGCCCAGAATTCGGCACGGATGCGGGTTGACTGGTTACTTCCTGTGTCTCCGAGAACTAGTCAGGAGAAAGAATCACAGTGCCAGAGTTGTCGAGTCTGGCAGCAATCCTGAGTACCTGCTTGCAGGCACGTTCGTCGAACTCTCGGAGCCTCTCCCTCAGGAGCACATCAGCTGTACCCTTGGCTGCCTTGAATGCGTCGTATACGGCTTTGACGGGGTAGCCGATTTTGGGCTCAGTCGGAGCCAAGCTGTCGATTGCCTTCTTCATGACTTCCAAATCGCTTCCATTGAAGGGGACGACGCCGTTTGTCAGCTGTGCCCGCTCACTGGCCGATGGGAAGCGGGCCACAGTGGCCAGCTCACCAATGCGACAGACCAAGTCGGAAAAGACACCAGGCGTCTCGCCCCTGGCAACAACAGCGTTTCTTGCATCGACGTGAAGCTCATGTACAGTATGGGGCAGCTGAGGGCCCTCCACTGCCGTCAGATTGTCGTTGAGGATTTGCAGAGCCGGACAGCAATCTTCGTCGAAGAATGTCCAATCAAAGTTTCGGAGAGCGCCGACGCGATATGTTGCAGCGTAATGGAGAGTGTCAATGAAACGGCGGTAGTTTTGCTCCCAGATTGGATGAATGACCAGCTGTGTCAGATCCAGACAAGCATCAAGTGTGAAGAGGTGGCTAGTTATGAGTAACCGGTTACGCTTAGGAACGAACTGCAGGCGATTCAGCGGCGACAGCATGATGGGAGGAGCCTGGTGTAGGAAACGTAGACAGAACCTCCAGAGATATCTATAGTGGAAGTCGTTGTTACCCCTCGTACCGATCACATCGGAAGACTCCTTTCGAAGTGAGGTTTGCCACTGTGCTTGCATCTGGTCCTCTGATTGCTGGTCCCATCTGTCTCGAATGACAGGCTCTGCGTCCCCAATAATACCTTCGACGGTCTCGAGCGATATCTTCTCATTTTCTTCGTATATGGAACACACCAGGGCCCAAAGCTCTTCACTGAAGTCGGCCCTTGCGGGCGTGTCGTCGGTTTCCATGTTGACCGCGTGTGACTAGGAGTCTGAAGACGCTATCTAAATGTAAGCTTCTCAAGATCCATCGTTGCGTGGGGTTCGGTACCTACCTTATATGCGATTGTGGTGGTTGGGACGAGGAAAGAAATTGAGACTGGGAGATTCATGGCAAAAGGTTGGGTGCGCGGTACTTTGCAACCTATGAAAAGTAACATTAACAGTTGGTAACTTGATATGATCGGCGGGACTCACAATATCATCATGAATTTCGTCAAAGAAACGGATGAATTCTTGCTCGTTGTAGCCCGAAGTGACAGCCAGCGCATCAGTCCACCTGTCCTCGAGACCACCATTATCTTGATCCTCATCTTCGTGTATATCAGAATCGCTGACGTCTTGCTCGTAGTCCTCGTTGACCTCAAAACTGGGAGTCTCTCTGCATCACAAACCCATCGCCCGGTCGGAGCCCACCGATCCAGTTTTGTGAAGTGAGGGCCGGAGATGGGGGCTCAACCTGCTCGAGGCGTTTAGCAATCGCAGCAATCTCGGCCGCAGCCTCAAGTATAGGGTCTTGCGGCTCGTTCATGGTGTCGCCAGATACCGAGAATGTCAGATCTCCGTTCTCGTGATGGTGCGTGAACTTTGGACTTTGATGCGGTACTGCCTCGGAATGGGTTAGCGACAGCGCGTAGAAAGCGAAAGATTCATAGGAAAAAGAGTGAATACGATGAAGAAGGAGTGATTTGAAACAGAATCCCCGTTTATTAAGAGCAAAGAGGAATATGAGCTTGAACGGGGCAGCGGATAGCTGAGGGCAAAGGGTAGGGGACAGCATTGGTGCTGACGTGGGGGATGAAATTGGTGGGAAATATACTTGACAGGGACAGAAAAAGATATGAAGTAAGAGCACTTGATCGTCTGATTCTTAAAATGCAAAGCTCGTGTCCAATGAGGCTATTGCGGTTGTGCGCGCTTTGTGGGAAGTTGTATCTCATCCCTCGTGAGGCGGGCTGAGTTTGGAGAGAGAAAGGTGAGGCTAAATTCGGGACCGGTGGAGGACCAGTATCGAGGCTTAGGCGTTAGTTACAGTGGGGCTTTGATAGTCTCTGAGCCATGATGGAGAAAATTCTGATGTCAAAGAAGCAATGAGATCATTTATGAAGAGGAATTGAGCTGTCTATAAATACAAATAACCATGAATATCAACTAATCGCGTACCATGGGTAATCTACGTCTTCTCACGGCAGACATCAGGAAAGTGAAGAAAGGTATCGAGGAGATTCTTACAATTCTCTTTTACAGTGTCTATCTATGAACAACAAAGAAGCATAAATTCCGGCCGCGCCATGCCATTTATGCTTAGCTCTAGAAACCCGTGTACCCGTTCGTCATACTGTCAAACACCATTGTCACCGAAATGCCACCCCATGAATCTATCCTCGCTCACAGGTTACCGGATGCGATGGAATAGAGTATTCTGTCGATGAGTGCGATGATGTTCTCGTTCGACTGGGCCGCGGCACGTGCAGTAATACCATACTGAACAGCGTGAAGTGAAGCCAACTGTTCAAACAAGGATGTAGCATTGGGGACATCGGTCGCATTTCCTAGCTTCTTCATGAGAGCATTCATGCTTGTGGGCTTGAGAAGTGCTCCGTGCTGACCCGCAACAGACTCGACAGATCTGTTTGCGTGGGTGACCGAAGCCTGTAGGTATGACTTCAGGACCAAGAGGGTAGTGGCGAAGTTTTCGGGCGTGACTGGCTGGGATAGTGTCGGCCTGTTGTCGATCGCTTGCTGCAGCGGAGTGCGAGGACAGTTGTTACTGTAACGCTCACATGAAGGCAAAATCGCCCCGACCTGCCTCAAGACAGCATCCTCATGTGCATCAGTCGGAATGAGGTCAAGGCAAGATTCAAGAAAGAATAGGAGGGCGTTGCGGGGTAGTATATCCCCCAGGCGGCACTCGCCTTCAAGTTCAGTGCCGAAGTCGGTACGAAGAGCCTTGTGAACGGCCATGATGAGTTCAGGGTCGATGCCGCGGAGTTTCGAGTTCAATCGCTGATACCCTTGTTAGTCCGGTGCATGATTGAATCGCAAAACACTTACTGCTACTTCTTCATGTAGCTCATCAGACTGGGCCCGGGTGAGCTCACAGCTAAAGTCGAAGAACGCACTCTCACCATCGGTGCGTGTTTGGGGTCCGTATTTCAGATCCGCCCTGCTGTCCTCCACAGTCGCCAAGAGCATATCGATCAAAGACTTGTCTTTCGCCCCCGACATGATGAACGTATGCCACGTGAGCACAAGCTTGCTCGTAAGGTGCTCTGGTTGAGTAACCACGAGTGGGTGAGCGGTGGAAATATTCTCCACGAGGCCGGAAACAAGAGAGGCCGTCATGCGAGTCTCGCTCGTCTTGTCGAGGGCCGCAGCCTTGCGACAGTTCTCACTCAAAGCCTTGACTCGATTTCTTCTGTCCCCGCCGACGTCCTCCTAGAACTCGGAGTAGAAGAAGATGGTCTCGCCAGGAATAAGTGCAGGCGAGAGCCGTCCGTTGAAAAACTTGCATCCGACGTAGAATTTGGCTTGGTGATTCAGCTTTTCAGAGACCGGAATATAAGCCCGCAATGCGTTTTCGTCACGTCGAAGGATGGCGGAGTCTCTCTGCTTCCCCTTTCCTTTAGTTGAAGTACTCATGGTAGAAGTCTCTGTGTTTGAGTACTTTTTGGGGTTGTCTCCGGCGACCAATCCCACCTCAATGTATTCCTTGGTGACCTTTGGGTCACTGACGAGCTCTGCCCCGGCGGGCGCCTTGGGACATGGGGTTACAGCAGGTCCATGTGTCGGCGGCTTGTATTGTTCATTTGATGTCTTCATTCGGCCGCTGCCAGTCTTTTGCTCTTCTCCTGCGCTCCAAAGATGGACGCGTTGAAAGGGGATCCGTCCATTGACTTCCACACGCATCTGAAGATGGTCGCGATTCTTGGCAAGATCCCAGTATCCATCTTCGATTGGTTGGGATAGAGCCTGATTGGAAGGCCCGGCAAGATTGTTGTCAGTCATGTCGGCCAAGGATTCCGACAGAGAGTGAAGCCAGGTATCGAAAATGGCCTTGATAGAGTTTCAGTTGGCAGTCAGAATGAGGGAAATACACTATTCTTGAGTTGTCGCAGTTATGTGGCGAGATGAGACGTAAATTGTCAATGTGGTATGGCGTACGGTTGGCGAGAAATGAAGCTGCGTCGCAGTGGTGGTCCTTGTGGTCGCAGTCACGTGGCAGACCCGCGACCCCGCCAAGTAAACTGGAGCCAGGAGGCCGAGAATCAACACACATGCCCCTCTCATAACTTCACAAGTGTGACTTCTTTTACCTCACACACACGCTTTCCATACACGCGCCACCACAAGGCGGATTCCTCAGTCTTTCTACCTTGAGAAAAGCCTCACGACGATGGCTCCCCATGATCCGGGCTTTGCGAATGGCGATCTTGAGAAACTTAAATCGCACCTCTTGGAACTACAGCTGGCCTACGATGAAGTTCCCGCTCAGCGACCCGAGGGAAGAGTCGCCAAACACCCAAAGACAACATCTGCACCATTGTCTGATACCAAAGAGGCCATCATTGAGAAAGTCGATTCAGACATGAAAGCTATCGCAAACAGTGTCTTTACCCAGCGCGAAGACTCAAACCTTCGTCTCCCGCCCAGCAAAGTCTCAACCGATCTCTACGACAAGCTCAAGGAGATTTGCGACAGTGATCGTACCTGCACACAGGAGGATATTGATCAAATCGATTCACTCCTCAAACGCTTCGTCCGTCAACTTGACCCAAGTTATCCATTCCCCGCTGAACCCCAGAACGATTCAGTCAAAGGTAAGTCTCTTTGCATGATGGTCACTCAACGGACTGTAGCTAACCTTTTACAGGCGGTAAAATGGACGTAGAGGCTGCCAACCAATCCATCAATGACGATGCCCACGGTGGCTTGGGAACGGGAGATGATGGGGTTCGGGGCTCAGACTCCCAAGACGAGTCGATGGGAGGATCCGAAGAGCCTATGGAAGATGGAGAGTAAGCGGCATTGTCGGGTTCGTGTGATAAGGCTTTGGTTTACAAGGTGACCATCGCGTATCCTGAAGGAATTGTGGTGGCCTTGTACTACAAAAGGGGTGGGGAACGGATAAAGACAGGGTCTGCTGTCTTGACCTTTTCAGTCTTGGGCGGTTGGCAATCTCTGTGCCTATAGTAATTAAACTGTTTTCTAAACTGATGGACGGGAAAGTGATGGCTTAGTGTTACAAAATTGGCGAACAAAGAGCGATACTGTTTGTCTGTTTCCTTGTCTTGACCTGCGTCTGTGGGCCTTTCATGAAGTGGCTGTGTGAATCTAACCGTGCACCAAACGACCGACGTTTACCCGCAAGGCGATGAGCTAACGGCCCGTCGGTCCTACAACTGCAACCATGAGCGCGCAACGCTTGAACACAATACGCGCCGGCCGCACATCACGATGAACTTGGGAACAAGAACAAAGGTCTGTCCTCATTGTTCAGATTTCTTTTCCCCTCAAGCATCATGACCACACATATCTGCTAGTCTCTTCGCCTCCCAAGCCCACTATTTTCATTCGATCAACACAACCACTACCACTACCGCTACCATATCTGCCACCCCACTCCCGTCGGTGGCTTCGCTGGCGCGGCCAGTGCTGCCAGTATCCCAGAGAAACCGGATCCAAGCGTGGGGAATGTTGACCGAGTTGCTCTCTTTGGCACCCTTTTGATTGGAATAGTCATACATTAACTGAAACATTTTCATCGGTTGTTGAGGTCACAATTCTTAGCGCCGACGGGTCGTTTGCATGCTGACCACGCCGCGCAACCGAAACCAAACAAGTCGGAAAGTCAGAGAAGCCCGCCGAAGATAAAGAAGCGGCCGAAGCACCAAAGGGGGTGAAGATACCGAAATGAAGGACGCGACGACAACTTCGATGCTGTAACATTTGTCAACGACTACGGCGAAGATCATTCCGTAGGCATGAGAGTCTCTTCGAATCACTTGCCATAAGCCTCGACAGCGTTCAAACGTTCAGAGATACCCGTAAGATGTCAGAAATGGGCACGAAGACGACGCTCTCCCACCCCTCATTGGCGACCATCAAAATCGAATGATTATATCGCGATCTCAAAGGACGACAGGATCTCAGACATCCCATCACGATTTCACAGCAGAGTGTAAAGGCTTTCCGATGTCAAAGTCTTTGAGGGCTGATACAAAGATATTCGGCATCCGTTTGAGAATCCTCAGCCCTTCATGCGTCGAAGGCGGCCTCTGACTACTGGATCAGGCAACCTGGTGTTCCTCGATTCTCACTCTTTTCGAAGCAGTTTCGCTTCATCCTCCAACCACTACAGTACTTCCAATCCTCCATCGCCTCAACCCAAATCTCATGCCCGGTAGTCTACCAGTCCCAACAAGTAACCCAACCTTTCATCTCACCAGACCGATCCTTCAATCACAAACCAAGGGTGACCCGAGGTCCCGTATCCTTTCGAAATGATCACTCTCCGAGTTTATCACCCACTTTCGAAGCTGCCGCGCATATCCTTGACCTTCAGTGACTCGAACGGCCAATAGTCAGAGCAGCAAATGGGACTATCCGGAAACTCATCCACTCGGATCTCGCTGTTTTCGCCAAAGCTCACCACGAAGACGAGTCCAGTACCGCGAGAAGTCGCTTCATTGTCAAACACATAGAGCCAATTGCTGTTATTTCTCTCCCATTGCTTCTGGTATACTTCAGACGCTAACTTCAAGCGCTGCGGTGGACAATGGAACTCGTGCATAGCCCTGTCCAAGGACTCTACGAAGATTCCTGAAACATCATATCACAGAACAGCATCACCTTGCGCCTTTCCTGAGACGCCAATAACCATGGCGGCATCTACTACTGGGACCCGCAAGCTTCACCAAATATTCAGTCTTCTACAGGACCCGTATGCCGCACCTGGATCGCCCATGACAGCCGCCCTCGCATATTCACGTGCACCAACTCAAAGAAGTCATGTTCTTCACACAGTGGACCACTGACCCTGCCAGTGATTGATATGATCTGCCCCGAGAGTTTGCTCGGCGAACGATCTTCTTCAAGTCCCTTTTCTTCTCGATACTCATCTGGTGGCATCAGTGTCGAGGCCAATCGCTATGACGTCATGGTCCGGGGTGTACGCAACTGCCACTTCTCCCTCCTCTTTCTTCATCCGTGCTACCTTAGCGCCTACATACGAAGCTTCAACATCACCTGCAGCACCATCATGTGCGCCACTTCACGTGTGGAATATCGTCGCGAAAGTATCCGCGCTGTACCAAAGCAATGAACAACAAAACATCGCGGTCTCCAGCAGAGGCAACGCAGTACGCTGCGCTCAAACACACTCCGAAGTTTCCAGCCAGAGCACCGATGCACGGAATGAAGGGCATGATCCCCGCCCGGACTCCGGCCTCTCGAAAGGCAGAGAGCGACACTCCAACGCGCTACAATGGATGCGATGCACTGTAATCTGTATAGCGTCAGCAAGACTCAGCTCCATGCATCCCGATTACTCAACCTCAACAACCCGGCCTCGCTAGCATGGACAACATCCACCCTGGTCACGATCGTGTCAGCAAGACTCGCCTCGACGACAAAGGCGAAAAGAAGCGCCGCCAAGGTTCTGAAAACGCAGAACACGCCGCTCCAAAGCGCCCGAAAGTTTCCAACCAGAACATCAGTGCACAGAATGAGAGTCACGCCCCCGCCTTCCTTCACGATTACTCAACCGGCCGCCCCTGCCTGGCCCTTCATCCTTTCCGCCTCATCACCACTTTCCTGCAAGTTACTCTGACCCTCTTCACCTCCATCATTTGAGTCCTTGTGATGCGTTTCCGGCGCTGATCCGTCGACCGCCTTTCCTTGTTACCTTGAACCGAACTCCCATCGAGCCTGAAAGACGCGTAATGCTGCAAACCAACTTTATTACACTTCAAAGTGACAACATCGAGCTTCGGAGGTAAGCGCAGACCTTTTCTGCATCACGCCAGAAGACTCCGAGTGTGATGTGCAATTACATCCTCTATTGCAGGCCTTACGATGTCAATCGACTCAGATCTGTTTTTCGATCATTCTGTGCTAACATATCTTTCAGTTTTCGAATTTTTCTTGTTTCGTGCCTCAGCGGCAGTTCGTTTGCTTGTCTTCGATGCGGCAGGTCCGCCGATTCACCCGACATCCTTATTCGATCAGTTCCACTCAAGCACCTCACGCTCAACACTTGGCTTGACAACGACCTGATGTCAATATCGATTTATTGACAACCATCACCAGGTATGATTCCGACCGGCTGGGCTTCGCCTTCCTGTTTACCGGATCCATGAATCAGTGGTACCTTCCCCGTGGCAGCACCAAGACCCTAACCTTCTCGCTCGCCCTCAGTGTCTCACCATATCAACCGAGCAATCAGAGGAAGCCCATCGCAGCAGGAGAAAGACCTCTCTGCAAAACTCGAAAGGCAGAGTTGGCTATTCAAGCCATTTCGGAAGAGGATCAATACTTCTCGCCAGATCTACCAGTCGACAACAACACGTCTCCACGAATACAGTAGCGAGTGAAAGAGACCTCTCTGTAAAGCTCGAAGCGACAGAGCTCGCCAACCAAGCCAATTCGCTGCGTGGAGCCAAGCTTCTTGCCGAACATCTCGAAGCAAAAACAATGTTTGTGGATAGAAGGGGAGATGACGGCAAGGGGAGGAGATGGGGTTCTAGTACGAATGCCTCCCAGAATTTCAGCCTCAATTCCTTCCATTTCACCATGCTTCTTCACACCATTCTAGGTTCTCTCTGCCGGAATAAGCTCACAGCCACAAGCAATCTGACGTCTTTCAGTTGTGCCCTTAACCCTCTTGGAACAACACAGTCTCGCATACAGACTTGATCCCACTTCAGACCTGATTTTCCGACTACCTTCCATCGACGTCGCATACCACGCACAAGATTCTGACACCACTGGAATGGGTTCCCGCTCCACCGCCCGCTTGCCTACTCCCAGGCCGCACTGACTGCCTCAATCGCCCAGGGCTATTGTTGATCAGAACTCAAAGAAAAATGTTGTTAGTCTATTGCTTTTGCTATGTTCGGCCGCTAACATCAACGATAGCCCCATGGACCTTCAGCCAGACATGGAGCTTACCACCGCTCCCCAACGAGACCCACGGAACATTACACCACCCAACTGAGGTTTGAGGTATTGTCCAGTCTTTTCCATCAATCATGCACAAGCGGAACTTTTGGTATCGCGTGGTGGACTATCAGGGGAACAGAGTCCCCACCCCCAATGGTCAACCGACCGACTGGACAACAGAGCTTGTCAGGTTTGATAGCTTCGAGTCAAAGAGCCATGGTAGACAGATGCTACACGGTTTTCGATGGATTTGACACTCCTACGTTCGTGGATGATGGCGATGAAAGAGTCCCCGCAGAGACTGCCAACGCATTGTGAATAACGTCTTCCGAACACTTGGCATTTGTCTCGAAAATCTCTAAACCTGCACCCCTGCACCTGTGGCATCCCTCTCGACATTTTCCGACTTTCGTGCGAGTTGAGAGGTCACATTTATCCTACCGGAACAGATTTTGGGTACATGATTCAAACTTCGGGACTCTTTCTGCGGAATTTATTCCTCCTTAAGGTATCGGAATCTGAATGTCACGCTTCTCGGTCCAACTGTCACCGACAATAACATCTTCAAAGTCTTCGAAAGGAAAGGTCATTTTCCGACACTGCCTTCATCCTTCTCTTCATCCATTCGCCGCCTCTCAAGGATCGAGCTGCATTTCTGGGCCAGGGTCGCGGTTCGTCTAATCCCTTCAACCGATGGCACGTCTGAACTCCAGAAGCTCTACAAATGCCGTGCAATACCCTCGAAGCACACATATTGTCGCCACGGATTTCCCGCTCACTTATGAACCCAATACAATCTCACTTCCTTCTCAGCTGCCAATACTTTTCATCTTCTTCCACTCTTCCGAGATGGATATCGAACTCAAGGCTTTACGACTCGATTCCGACCCGCAGTGCTTTTATGGATTTCGTCAACGGGTGCAAGCCTGTATACAGCACTTGGATGAGCGGCTCCTCCAGCACGGATACTGGGTCTCAATCTTCCATTGAGCTCACTACACCCAAGGTTGAGACCCCAAGGATAAGACTGAAGTTCAGTACACTTCATTCTTCAACATCCAAACTGCCTTTGTCAAGACGAACATCCAACACGGCACTGTAGAGCCGACTGCTCCCGACTATACTTTTGTTGTTGGCATCCTCCTATCCGTTCTCTTATGGATCTCATCAATCAAGGCAAGCTTGTATCCAGCACCATCAGGAGCAACTCCCCGACCCCTATATCCAGCCTCCACTCACCCGTGCTTTCGCTTGGTATCGGATTTCATCCATATGCTCATCCGAAAGTCCCTTCTTGTCGATTGATCCGCGCCGTCAATCTATTATGAACTGAAACAAGTCCGCCTCCGCCTCTGTGACTTCAGACCAAGCGTTGCCGCGCATTTAAAGCAGTCATCCCATTCGCGACTTCAAGAACGGTCTTGCTCAAGCTTTGTTGTTCCGGGTGAATTTCGAGTGGCAAACAACAAACCTCGCCTTGGTGTCACAAGACTCCCGCCACACCGTCGTCTATTGCTACGCAGACCTCAACTCTTTTCCGACGTGTAGGACATCTTTCGTTGTCGGGCTATGTTATTCTTTCCACTCGCCTGACCTCACTAGATTGAGGCGATGCTCATCCATGTCCCATTCGCCAACTCCCTCATGTCCTTACGACAATGCCGACTAAAAGGGGTGTGCAATGTTGTCCGCCAATTCTGTCGGATACCCAAATGAGAATCCCAAACGTCGAGAAGGCGGTGCAGACTCCAAGATCATTCGGACCAAATCGGTTGCTGTACTGCACCACCATATTCTCCATTCCACACCTTCATACGTCGGTCGATCAAGCTTTACAACATCAGCAGCTTGGTCGCCCCCCTAACTGGATTGCCAACCCTCTTGCTATTGTCCTTGATGTCAACCAGCATGTCTCGCTTCATCTCATTCCCTTCTTATACATACTCCATACATCTCACACTTCCTTCTCAACTCTCGGTACCTTTTCAAGCACAAATCTACTTCCACTCTGCCGAGATGGTCGCCGAACTCTGAGTACACTGGCTAAATTGTGCACTACCACATCTGGTCAGGGTCGAAGTGGGTTGGATATCTTCATCTACAGCCCATTGTGCCAGGTCACGAGGCAGTCGAAAGATGGCTCACATCACGCGCCTCACACACGCATACCGTCTACTTTGCGGGGTTGTTGGGTTTATTGACAGTTTGGGGTGGCTGGAACTGTGCGTTCCAGCCCCCTCCTGAGCCTTGGATCGTCTCTTTCTGCGTTCTCAAAGAGGCGCCCCCGATGATGCTACCTCACATGAACTCCGCCCAATTGATCTCGCATCGTCTCATTCACACCCCACGCGCGCAGTTATTGAATCCAACAACAGGCCCGATCAGACTATCACCGAAGGACTTACGAAGCGGCTCCAGCGAAACATTGAGCTTTCTTGCGAGATCACGGCGCTGCAACAATCGGAGCAGAATGCATGGGGTTAGCTCAATAGTGCCAAGACCCCCTGCACATAATGCTATCTCACCTGAACTCGCATGAGTTCGTCTTGCATCGTCTCATCGAGAACCTGCGAGCGCAGTTGTTGAATGAAACAACAAGGTCGATCAGACTAGCATCGAAGAACTCACGAAGCAGCACCTATGGATTACCGAGCTTTCTCGCGAGATCACGGCACTGCAACAATCGCAACAGAACGCACAGGGCCAGCTCAATAGCGCCAAGTACCGAGAAGACTGTCACTGGCTTGACAAGACTTGCCGACATCTAAGCTTGGATTCAATTTGGTGGTAGGGTTACGCAACCACTACAAACTCAACTACCTACGCGGGATCCCTAGATGCGTGAAGAGCCAGACGGCGCCGACCGCCTCTTGGCCGATTATAACTGTCTCTCGCAACATCGACCGGTTTACCATGTCTTTGCTATCTTATCCCAGCACAATCTCGGTCCATGACCTTTACCCATCGCGCTCGAACCCCGGACATACAGCACCTAGTTGCAACTCGTGGCTTCCTGACTCGCTCCCAAACCCGAGAACAAGCATAGGAAGGACGAGAACAGGGAGGAGGGTGAGATCGTTAGCCACGAGGACTGCGGTAAGGTTCGGGTTTCAAAAGAGGCTTCAGCCTCCAGGCCATAAAGGTAAAGGACGGAGACCAATAAAGACATACAGGCAACATACTCGTCACCTACACAATGGCCTAAGATCTTGCTTTTGGCTGAAAAGCTAGATGCAGACTGTCTACAAGATCGTATNNAAGTCAATCCGGGCAGTATACCAGGCACATTAACTTGACCTCAGCAAAGGGAGCTTGTGCTTTTCTTACACCTTGAACTTCAACTCCAAGCAACTCAGAGATCGACACACTGTATTAGAGCTGTAGTAGAACCAAGGACATTGTGAGTTGATACGCCTCAGCCGCGAAGACGTGGGTGCTGAAGCAAGTAGCGGGATGGTGTCTGTTGGTAGCAAACATTACAATGTTTTTATTGTTTACAAAGTGAGGACCCGGGGTCACTAATATGGTCAATGTTGAGAATGGAATCAATTGTAAAGCAGTCGTGACGGCAAATTTCATTTTCGACACTGGTTTATACGCCCCCCTTTGAATCAATGCTATGCCATTCCGATGAAGCCTCGGCGTGATATCCTCTGCCATCCTTCCCACCGGTGAACAATGCAACTAGTTGCGGTACAGACGAACTATATGGCCACTGCTATCGCGAACGGTTTTCAACGCCTTAGGAAGGCTCAGGATTCTCACTGTGAGGCGACGTGTTAACTAGCTTGGGTTTTTCCCGACGTTCCGACAATGTCAATCGTCTCGGCGGCACATACAAAGTTGAATCGTTCATTTTTTCGTGGTTTGGGCCTGTAGGCTGGCTGTCAGAGAATAGCTAAAAGATGGGAGCGCCTGGAATTAAAACGAACCTCTTTGCCGACAGAGGCAGTCGCGTTACGAGCATGCATCTCTTCCCAATACTTGCCAGCCTCGATTGCGGCCTTGCGGACGAATGCCTCTCTCGACAGAAGAAACACGTCAGAAGTGTCAAAGGCGCGTGGCTCGCCAAGGCTACCGATATCGTTCTGAGAAGACGCCATTGCAGCGGAGGGGATACCGAAAGAAGTGTTGCTTTGGAGAAAAAATAGCGGTCGTAGAATCTGCCTTGTCTATCAGCTATTGTCATCACATATTTAGCCTCAGAATACTCACAAGTCTGGGAGGGAGGCGATGCGCAGGGAGTAGAGGGTGGAGATATGAAGGGGAACAAGTCAACGTGCGAGCGACACTTGTGTTGGAGTGATGGGGTGGTGCGTAAACAAACTCTTGTGAGCCATTCACCCACATCTCTGTGGATCTGGACCCATATTTTCATGCAGCTTTCATTGTCTGTTCTTTTTAGGCGATTCATCCACTACATGTAGAGTGAATGGACAGGTCAGGCTCTAAGAGCCGCAGCTAATTCCATGATACTGACCGGAGCGAGAGCCTACATCTACTGAGCAAACACAACTAGCGGCATGACAGGGCTTCAGACATGAGATGCAATTGAAATTTGTTTCTCTATGGGCTACAGAGGAGAGTACTTGAGGTTACTGGCCTGTTGGGTGCAATTTCAGTAGCTGTCTTCAGTTGGATAAATGAGGAGCGTGACTGCAGTGAAGACTACAGCTGGGTTATAGTGGACTAAGTGGGTGTTGGGCCCAAGCCGACATGTGGCCGCGGTTGGTCGAAATTGACCCAAGCCCAGTGGAGACCATTGTCCCAGACGTGAGAGTTTGATCGGAACTATAGGCGGTCGCCCACTGAACGTCCGCTAATTCGGCCCGCCAACGCTGTATCAGGCGCACTGCTTCTTCATCCTCAGCGACAGGGGGGGACGATGAACTCACTCAAGCAAGGCGGATTCAGAGCGACATATTCCGACATGGTAATCTGAAGAAACGATCTAGTCAACGTAGAAATATGAGATAATGTGGTTCCACGGCTACAGAGTGATTACTGTAGTTCTTCAGTTGATGTGCATCAAAGAACGAACCAAAGGGCGGTGGGGGTCAGAGCGGCAGAATAATCTTGGGACTCGAAGTACGCCTTAGACAAACAGAGCCTTGTTGAAAGCAAACACTCCGTCACTCAAACATCAACGTTTAATACTTCTGACACAACTCATCTCTTGACGCGGCTCTTACTATTTCTCAACATGAACGAGTCCCAGCAGACGAAACGCCGCCCTCCAAGGGAGACGGACTCGGATCGCCCCGAAAAGCGTCAGAACAGGGCCCCCAAGGAAACAACAAGCGATGCGGCGCAGACGGCGGTTCAGAATTGCCTTGAACAGAACGCAGTATACGAGGGTCACCTATTAGATGATCACTTGAGTCCCGATCCCCTCACTACTTCCAACTCGGTGCACGAAGCAGAAGCAATGGCGCTGTTTGATGCTTCGCAGAGTAAGGTGGACTTTGAGAAGTTCTGCCTTGAGGAGGGTACCAATAATCCCACGGTCAATGAGTTTAGGTCATTATGGAAAGTCTGCCTTCGCGTTTTCGAATGGTCTCCAGTGTCACTGATATCACCACTCAATGGTTTGAAGTATCGTTCCGTAGCCACAAGGGCCCCGGAGTCTACCCAGGATCCCGAGAACTCTGAGCTTGCGGATGATGCTGATCAATCGGATAGTCCACAGGATCCTGGGCGCACACAGTCTTCCAAAGGCAAGAGGCCCTCTGAAGCCATTTTCTCGCCAGACTTTAGCAAGATTTTGACTACACTTATCGTTCATCCATGTTGGGAGGGGGGTGTCGTGCTCTTCATCTTGGCTCTTCAGTTTACCGTCAAATGTCGTGTGGACAACCGGGAGCCTTGGCCTCGACAAGACCTTTTGTTTCGCGTTTCAGGCCTCAGGACACTCCGCTCAATGTTTGATGATCCAGACACAGAACCCGTTCGCATAGCAGATATGTTTAACACCGTGTACAACTCTCAAGCGGAAGACGACCGGTCAACTTTCTCGCCTTTTCTACACTTCCTCGGTGACCAGGTCAAGTCAATGCCGAGCGACGTCAGTCAGCCACAGACATACCTTGGTGTGGACGCGTTGCCAGTCACGATTAGGGCCTTGAAGTTCCTCACAACTGCGGTGGAGAAGTTTGAGTGGGGTATGGACTCTTGGAACTGTAGTCCAGATGAGGTTTGGAGGGCATACCGGCTGAAGCGAGGACTTGGGAAGGAAGAGATACCAACGACAAATGCAGACGCCAAGATGTTTACTCTCCGAAGCTTGAAGGATGTCTATCGAGATATTGCGCGGCAATTACGGATGTCTCGGGATGGTGCTTCTCAACTTAAGGCACCTGACCGAGGTATACATGATGGCAACTGGCAGGATGCTGCTCAAGATGGGGGAGAAGACATTACTATCGACAACCAGGTCCGAATTCCCCCTGAGGATGATATAGATATGTTGGCAGACAATGTATCCGACATACCAAGGGAGAGTACCCCCTTTTCCCCACAGCCAAGGGAGAGAGAGCCTCGTCGCAAAGCTCTTGTTGGTGGAGAGGAGACAGAAGATGAGGAGGAGGACCTACGAAGAAATCAGCGTCCAGGAAATGTGTCAAACGAGACGCAGATTATGCAAGCTGTTACGCGCAGAGATCAGATAGGCGGTGGTATGTTGCCTGGACTGTCGTCTCAACCACCATGTACCCAATTTGCAGCCACAGCATCTTTTACACGGGCACCTACTCCACTGGCGCCGATGACACCTTTCGTCTCTGGAGGGACGTCAAGTGGGCGTCTCAATTCGGATGAGCAACGACGTGAGAGCCACTTTGCATATACAGAGAGAACCATCAAGAGCATTCTGAATACGCAAGTCTCACAGTTAAGCCATCAGCGATCTCCAACGTCGTACAGAATTGCAGATTCTGCCGCGAAATGAAGCTGGAAGCGTCAATGTCGCCGCCGCAACTCAAAGAGTTACTGTTCTGGAAAGGGAGAACGAACAGCTGGTGCAACAGAACAAGGCTCTCCAGGAACGAGTTGATCGGATGGCAGAGGACGCAGAGCGACATCAAGCGGAATGGCCAGGAAAGTTCAAAGCCTTGGGGATTGAGAAGTCTGCTCTGTTGGCAACCATGTCTCAGAATGAAGAGCGCTTCGAGGCTGAGATGTCCAAACTTTCAGCCCGCAATGTCGAATGGTCTCAAAAGGCCAAGACACTCGACCAAGAGAAGGTCAGTCTTTTAGAGATCATTGCTGAGAATAACGAAGCCCTCGCACTTCAGAGCCAGAAGGTCAGAAGACTTGAGGCGCGATTAAAAGCAATCAACGACATTCGGCCGGAGACGACACGATCAATGGAGATGCCCTCGCAACCTAACCGCGACAATACTTCGACCCGCCGCAACCTCGTTCCCCTTGCACAACATTCGACAGCAAATCGCAACGCCACACTTGAAAGCCAGAAAGACAGGTTGACCGCGGAGATGGAGTCCAGTGACAGATTGAAGAACCAAGAGAGTGAGGCCATCTACCAGAGAGATGAGTCCGCATCGTTGAGAGGCCAGATCACATCCCCTGAAGGAGAAAACGGCTCTGCCGAACCAATGTCCGTCTCCGGCGAACAAAACGAAACCATGTCACGAGATTTCCTTGACAACAACGACAGTTACATGGATTGGTAGAATGGTAGCGGGTGTAGATAAGAGACTGAAACGGCTGGTTGTGTATCAAAGAGCCATTATCGATTTGACTAATGTGTATTAAATACAGTAGACATGGAAAAGACTTGTATAATATATAGATTGTGATAAAGTACGAGTAACTCAACAAGAGAAAATTATATCAATAATTTTAGAAGGGATTTATGGGTAACATTACTTGTGGAGGTGGCAGAAAACGCTCGGGCCAGACAAGTCAAGTCTCTCATTTTGCCCCAAGTTCATTTCCATCCACCATTACAGCACCACGTACGAGTAAGTAACGCGATTTGTTTCGCATTATTGAGAAATCTGTCAATAACACGCTTAGATATCAGATTTGCGCCATTTCTGTTCGAATGAAATGAGCGCCCAGACCAACAATGTACCGCTCCCCATCGCTGGCCGACAAGTGATGGGAGATATTCACGACCGCCTGCTGGAGTTCGTCCAGGCGAGATATGAAGAGAATGCCCGGGTCACACTCGACATGGTCACCGAGATCATTGGTGACGGAGATCCTGTGGGCGATGACGACTGGGACCAGGCTGCAGAGGATCGGATGATAGCCCGCTGGGAGGCATCATCGCGAAAGACGTCCTCAGACAAAGTTGGTACGAGACGGAACAATGATGACCCTCTTCGTGAGGTGTGGAGATTCTGTCTTCGCTTTATGAAGCAGGCGCCCCCGATCAATAGTCTGCAGTTCATGCCTGCTCGTATGCCTGCTCGTCCTGCTGGTCCTGATCGTCAGAGAGAGATTGCACTGTCAAGCGACCTTTTTACCTTGGCAGCTTGCGGAATGCTGTCAAAACTGGTCGTTCACCCACTATGGCGAGGAGAATACCGTGCCTTCGTTGACGCCTTGAAGTTCGCTGCCTTGTGCCGTGTCGATGCCAAGTCGCACATCAGATTGACTCTCCGCTCGCCCTCTCACTGCCCAGTCATCCAGGAGCTGAACGCCAGGCTTATGGAAGACACCGGTTCGGGTTTGCCCGATACATTGCAAAACCTTCACTTCTCGGCAAGGGAGACTGTCTCTGGCGGTGGTGGCAGAGAAAGCGTATTCTCGGAGGTTCTCTTTCGTATCGGGCAGACTGCCGTTGCTGAGTCGCCTTCGAACGCCGAAAAGACTCAATTGCGGGATGGCATCATTCCTTTCCAGGGCAAAGACCTGGACGTTATCAAAGGAGTAATTGATGAACTGGCTTCGACTGATGATCGGGTGCAGTTTTCCGTCGAACAAGTCTATACAGCTTTCAAGTCTGTCGGTACTCGCGGCGAAATCCCTTCCAGGGAGCAGCTTCGGTCATTGGATGCTCGCGCGTGCAAGCAAGTCTTTAGAATATGTTCGAGACCCGGCTCGGTGAGCCTCCCATCTAACTAGTTATCAGAGGAGGGTACTTCATCAAGCAGAATCCCAGAAGAGACTGAAGAAGCCAATCAATCCACATCAAGCAGACAAAGGCGTGGTCGATCTCGTAGCCCACTGGCTCACCGTCCCGACGAATTTCCCTTCCGCCTTCGCTCCCGCCTCCGATCGCCACATTTGAATGAGTCTAATCAAGATTCCCGCCCTCTCGAGCAGCGCCGAAGCTCTTCCCACGCATTCACTTCAAGTCGACACTCGAATCCCGACAATCAAGGACGTCACTCCCAAAGGGTCGACAGCGACAATACGTCACCGGCACGCCAGACACATGGGGACAATGCCTACTCCTCGATCAGAGGTAGTTATATGCCTGAGGGTAGTGAGCTTACGCGGAGTCAAGCATTGTCTCCAGACGAGATCGGAGAAGTCCGAAGGGAGCTGAACAGACTCGGCAAACAACTCCGCGCCGGCGAGACTGAGAGAGATCGTCTGATTGAACAAGTCAGTTCTCAGCAAGCTGAGACTCATAATCTCCTCAACCACCGGCATGCCGACGCCATTGAGGCTTTAAAGGGTGATTATGAGGATAAACTCGATACCTTGAGATCTGAGCATGCCGAAGCCATTGCTACTTTGAAGTCGGAGCATGCCGAAGCCGTTGCGACGTTAAAGTCTGAGCATGCCACGACTATTGCATCTTTGAAGACCGAGATTTGTAATCAACTCCAGGCAGTAATGTCTTCTTCATTGCAGTAAGCAGGCAGGTCTCATCAAAAGTCTGCAGGAGGAAAACGAGAGCCTCAGAGGGACAGCTCAGGCGTCTCCCTCCCAAGTGCGTTCACCAACTCCTGTTGAGACATCGGCCCAGCCTAGCGCCCCTGAGCACCTTGAGTCATCTGAGGATTCTAAGACACTATCAAGTATCTTTTCGAGGCGGCCAGAAGGAGTGTCATTTCCGCTGGGTCTACAACGACCAGTAGTCAGAATTACCGCGAGTGTTGACGGCAGGCATTGGAGACTGGGCGGTTACCTAGTTTTGGTGTTTTACTGTGCAATCGCATGTAGTTAATCTTGAAAGCCGATCAAGTTCCTATAATTACGTCAAGGTGCCAAGAAAGCGTTCAATCCCAACTCCAGGCCCAATGTTGATTGATACCTAAAGCTTAAAACGCCTCAGCGAGACATATCAAGCCACCACACCGAAAACCACTATTTAAGTTTAGCTTTTGGAAGGCAATATACCTCGATAAAGATAAGCCTCCCAATTAAAAGCAGAATAATATGCTTTTGTAATGACGCAACTAGTAACCTTATTGACAGCTGTTGAGGTATAAGAAGCCGTCCTGGTCGCTTATTGCTAGAGCAGAAGAAATTCTCATACAAAAGAAAAACCACAAAAACCACAAAAATGCCACTTCTGAGCTGTCAATCCCAATGTTCAAAGGTGAGTCACATCACTAAAGGAATATAGGCAACAGGCCAGCCCCTCAGGTGCGATGATACCAACTGAAAAGCCGGCCCAACTGCTTTTCCCAAGCAGACCCCATCCCTTCACTCAGGTCATCCAGTGGCTTCTGAGAGGGACGGAGCTTGAGTGCCAACAAGTGGACACTGCCATCTGCTTCACCACCTTACCTAATCAAACAGACCGTAAAAAAAAGAAAAGAAAAATATCAGGCCTCGAACCCTTGCACGCGAGAAAATTTCAGCAAAATAATAGTCCCCCGCTGCAAGACAGGACCCAAGATCAGCAGGGACTCGAAGGTGATAACAATGGATTGCTTTGGCCCCCTTATATAGCTTTGCCGCTGTAGTGGCCATTATTGCCTTTGTTCCTTCTCGACTTCAGTAAAGATCGGCCATCTGATCATTAAATGGGATAGGAAATAGATAACAGGCGCAATACATAAAAACACAAGAATAATCTCAAGCAATTGATCATAACTTGCAAAGACAAGGCCACAGCACAGGTGCAGATGTAAAGTGAGAAAACTCCACGTGAGTCACTCTTGTAACCTTGTTGGACCGAAATGGGATAGTCACAGGCGATGGTAAATAACCCAGCTCTTGTCGGGTAATGCAATTCACCTATACCTCTATGGATCTGACCGATGTTATGATACGGCTTCTACTGTCTGTCGCTGCCACGGATCAACAAGCTAGAGCTTGGACAATCCACATGATCAAGGTTATTCAACCCAGGTCTCTATAATACAATTCCAGTCCAAGAAATATGTGTTTCTACATCCTCTTCCTTCACCTTACTAAACTTGGTGCCATCCCAAACTTTGATCTCAGCACCCAGGTATGCCCCAGAGAGATCGTATATCTTTGCCAATTTTATATCGAGACAAACAGCCAAATCAATGTCATCACCATGGACAATCGATCGGTCTCGGGCTTTGCTCGAGTAAGAATTCGTCCCTCGAATAGGTTCAACCGCTGACACAAATCAATAGTTCCAGTCACCAGCTTCATCACTGTGCATTCACCGAAGCGGTCGATCCTCAAGTTCGACAGGCTCACAGCCGGCCGGCCGTTAGCAGACAGATCCCTGCCCGCGGAGCTCACCGTGCGGCGACGGCCTGTCATGAGGAGATCCGAGAACTGAAGGAAAAGCTGGCTTCGGCGATGGAGGAGATCCAGTTCTTCCGACAACAGTTGGACAAATTTAGGGAGCCTTAGATATTGGTATTGTGGGTTGTTTCAGTTGCTTCCCGTCGGAGCAACGTGCCCAGGGGAGGGTGTATGTCATTCAAACAGCTCATCACCTGTCTCGCCTCCAACTTCCTGCACCTTCATCCCTTTGTCCCGTCGCCATTGTTTCGAATGGTCTGAAATTCTCTCGAGCTGCAATATCGAGCCTAACACGGCGCGCCGCGGAAGGCGCTCCAGGTTCAACACCTTCCAATTGACGAACAAAGTTTTATGCTTAAAATTCTGTCCAATATTGAACAGTCTTCTGTCTCAATCCGGTAATGTGGTCCAACTGTAAGCCCGAGTTAAGGTCTCCTGCTGAACCAGGTTGGGTCGAAGTTTATGGCCGCCGAATCCGAGAGGCCTTTTTTTACTAGCCCCTTGGTCCACCTTGTCAATGCGACTAGCGCCCAATGCTCCTCGGCATAGTCTGGTGTCGGGCGGTGACTGTTCGTGTGGACTCGGGAGCCTCTTGCGTTGGTCAGACTCGAGCATGCGTGCTGTGGTGATATCGAGCGTCATAAAGTCAGGGAGACTGTATTAGATCTGGTATCGCTATTCGGTCGGGGTAGCCGTAGTCGCTTATCATTATGACTAAAGAAATCATGATATCATCATGTATAGACAGGCGGTAATGTAGTTCGAGATCTAAGTGTCAAAGGGAGATCATGAACTTGGCCTCGGTAATGACAATCTCGGCATCAATCTTACAACAGATGTCACAGAAGGGATATCGGTAAGGTCTCGGAGAATTGGCGCTCGTCGTGCATGTCGACTTTCATATCGGTGATCTTGTAGCATTATCCTTGCATCTACCCGGCTAACTGCGTCGTAGGGAACATGTGAAACCCGATCGACCTTGCTTGGTGAAACCGACTCAAACTTCTCAACGACAGGCTTCCCGAGAAGGATGTGCTCCTGGCAATGATCATGGTGCATTACGCGGCTCGAGATCTGGGGATATTGGACTCGTTATCTGTCGACGTGTTCGTGGTAGAGGTGCAGGTATTGGGGTATCGACCTTCATAGAAGACTCGCTAGAGTAAGCACTGTACAGGAACTATCAATAAGTCAGTCTATCAGTCAGATCGCAGTCATATATATCTAGGAGTCTTAAGACTTTCATAGGGCAGTGAACTATATGTCTGTTCAAGAACCTACCTTGGAGATGAACAGTAGGGTAAACTCAAAGCAGAACATGCCAAATCAATGCAACCGACATTTGCCTACCGCTCGCCCCAACGAGGGCGCGTACATGTCAGGAGTTGGCAAAGTCGCGAAGAATGAATGCTGGATAGGGTTCCCCAGTCGGAATGTTGTTGTTCGGGATTGCTGCACCGCAAAACGTGGTGCTTAACCTTATAGGCCGCTGTCATCCATAGATAGATAGCTGGGATTGGAATAGCCGTCTCAATAGGTGGGGAAGTCCGCAGACTGTTTCAGAAGGCGTATCGACCTGGAATCTGTTTCCAGTAATCGCAATTGGCGAGTGAATTTAGTTGGTCACAGATTCTGGATGCTAAGGTAGCGAGGCCGGGGCGCAGATGAAGCAGACCGAGAGACGGCCAAATTGACGGTTGACCCGGCACTGCGAGGTTGGCGTGCATGGATGAGCACATCTGATGTTGTGCGACAGACAAGGGTCTGAATGTCGTGTGAGTCCAAAAGGGAGAGCTCGAACTTGGCAAAGGGCTGTGCGTTCGTGGTCACAATCTGTACTGAAGGTTGCTTCCAAATGTCCAGAGTATACAACCGTGATAGCTGAGCGTGTCTCCTTCGAATGGTGTTGAAAGCTCTTTGACTGGAAGTGACAGGCATCAGGGGAGGGGTTCAATTCGATCCCAAATAAGTGATGGATCGGCACTATGTGTCAAATTTTAGCATGTCTGGACGGCGTGGCGTTGTTACTTTTGCAAGCTTACCAGATGTTCACAAGTGGGGTTCCACGTTGCAGGGGCATGACAGTCGTGAGGTGGAAGTGAAACTATCATCAAGAGGTCGGGATGTGATGAGGATATACAAACGGGATGATCGAGCGAAGCTGAGATCGTTGATGTGGTCGAATGGTGAGGTTGAGCCGAGTGTGTCGTTGAGCCCGAAGCTTGGACTTCATGAGCTGATTCACCCATTGGCAGACAAGTGGCTGGCGTCTCTGCGGGGGTCCAAGAGCTTCTCACGAGTGCGCTGAAACGCAAGGGGGACTCAGACGAGTTTGGATCGAGGCAGCCTGAAAGGGCAAAAGAACTTTTGACGTCAAGCTGGAGAAGGGTAGAAAATGGTCTCAAGTTTTCACAGGATACAGTAAGATCGATTAGGCCTTTTCATCAGGTAGAAACGATGTGATCATCCTTCTGGCCTTCCCTCGGACAGAAACTCATCAAATAAGCCTGCATCCCGCGCCCACTTGACTGCCATCTTGAAATATCCTCCAACTTGTCGAAGACGGTTCTTGCAACATGTCTTGAAATATCCTCCAATTTATCGAAGACATTTCTTGTAGGCCTCGCAATGACACGAATGCGAAAGTAGCGATATTGTACCAGCTGAAATTCTAGCAATGCCTCGCCATCACTGCTGTAAGAGCAACAGTATCCGGCTGACTTGGACGGAGATTTTGGTCGTGTGATCTTGATCCCGAGGATGTCGACGGACCCTAGACCATGGCGGCCTCGTTGGTGCGATGGACGGTGCGACCCCTGCCATCCCGGTCGAGGACACCAGTGGCGACGGCCGGATACAGCAATGAGAGTCTTGTGTATGAAGAGCAAGGCAGGGTCGGCCTTGTTGGTGCGATGAACGGTGTGACCCCTGCTATCCGGTTGAGGACACCAGTGACAACAGTGGGATGATCACTGCCTTTGAAACTCTATTAGTATGATATCTCTATAGGACAGATGGTTCGACTTACCAGGACCCTGGGTAGACAGCTGGACAACAGAAGTAGCGCCCGACTGCTGCATAGCGCGCATCGCAAACTCGTGGACGACGGAACCATCGCTGGCCACGCCGGCAAAGCTACCACCGTGGGTGGGGTGGTGGTGAAGTTGCTCTCGTTGGAAGGCATGACAGCGTGTGTGATGTGAGCCATCAGCTGTGGGAACTATCAACTCAAAATAACACTCTTATAAGGCATGATAGCGGTAGTGGTAGTGTTGATTGAAGAGAATAAAGGGCTTGGAAGGCGAAGAGACCAGCAGAGATTTGCGAAGTTTGTGTATCGACGGTCAAAATATCGGACCATCAGATTGAAGATGAGGATGACAAGAGCAGCAAGGTCTGGAGAACCCTGCCAAGAAAGCTCCTCGATGACTGCTGTTTGGAGGACAATGTGCAGAGTTGAGAGGCGACGCATCTTGAACAAAGACAGTTGCAAGCGTGCCTTGACGATGGCTGACGCGTGAGAACCATGTGGGTCAAAACAAACGAATCTGGGGAAGTGGAGAGTCTCCACAATTTAGGGGATACAGGGTAGAAAAGCTCACACCTCTGACATTATATCATTAACAAAAAAGACATTTCCTCACTGACGAAACGCGATATCGGTTGGGTAAATAGTCTCATTGAATTTACCGATTTATTCTGAGGCTTTTGATATAGAGTTTGTATTCCTAGCTGCCGTATTGACGATTTGGCGCAAAATGCTCACTTTGACTCCAAACCCGGACAAAACACTATTAGATCAAACATGGTTCAATGAGCAAGACTGTTGTTTGAAATTCATCAAAGCACCATGATATCTTAGAGATAGATACAGGTAGATCGGGATTGAAATTTTGCACAGCAATATTTATCAAAATCGATCAGATGCCTCCAATGCCGACCAGCGCAATAATGTCGCCTTCTGAAAGACTCCCAGAGATAACTGCACGCGTTTTCTGGCGCCACTAAGCAATCAGCACGAGCCTTGGTAGTCATGGTGTGACGGATGTCATGTATCAAGTAGGATATCTATGCCGATTTACATTCGCCAAGTTACAAAGCGCCTCAAGCGCTTTGGGCTACGAGGTTCTTGACAGGCATAGTTCATTTCGACTGTCTCTAGCATCAGCAGGTCACAATCACAACCGACTTCAAGAAAGAAGCCAACACATTCTCAAAACCCCCCCTGGAACTTCATTCACAGACCAATTCCGCTCTTGTACCTCCGCCCGACAACCACTTCATGACCCTAAAATTCCCTTACGTCTCATTCAAAGCGCAGCACAACTGTCGATCAAATGCACCACCTGCTGGACCCGACGCTAGGCGAGGTGAAGCCCTCCTGCGGCCACTCTCCAGCTGTAGTGAGCCATCTCGGGCCATCGACCAAAACCTGACATTCCTCGAACGTTCGCTTGAAAAGACAAGGAGATGATAATGACGGGAGACGTGACGAGTGACAAAGAAGCCAAAGGCCAAGTTGGCCGTCTCTTCTTGAAGACCAATCGGCATCCGGCATACCAGTGTTTTCGCCCAAGGATTGACGGGGCATCATGGGCGCAAGGCACCGTCGCAACAGTTTCAAGAGGGTCACGATTATCTCAAACAGTACACCATTGAGCAAATACGAGTAAGAGTAGGGACCTCCGCCTTTCGAGACTCTGAGAACCCGGTGTGATCAGAAGGAACCCTCCATCAAACAACTGAGCTGCCGGTCGAGGGGACCAGGACGACTATGCACTGAACCAGATCACGAACCAAGTCCCAATAAGCGAGCCACGTCGGACACGTTTGTCGAAAGGCAAGGCGCGGTCTCGGTTGACATGTTTCATACATCCGAAACAACTGCACACTGTCACTTTATATTCAGGGGTACGCCGGCAGCACACAAGCTTGTTTCGGCCTTCAAAGGACGCCAAGGTGGTCTTTGTTCGTTATCCGCTTGTATGCACTCGTTATTGAAGTTTCCAGTTGCTTGTAAAGAGGCACTTGTAAGATAGGAGTTCAGGTGGACTAAGAATTGTGTGTTGAGGGGGTTGTAGCTGAAGGCTGCAATATAGTCTGAGTTGATATTACTACCAAAATATAGATACATATTGAGCTACACAAACAGCAAATGAAGCTTAGAATATCGTGATAAGACAGGGTAGGTCATCTGAGTGAGGCTTGTGATATGGTGTATTGTTTCCTGTTACTCAGCAGTCGTACCACTTGGCGGGAAACAACCCGAAGCAGACAATCCAGAGCCAGACTAGGTAGAGGGCACCAAATTCACCCGACAAGTCTAGGGATGAGTGATCTAGAGCCTTGGTATCCCCGAACATCTGGAAAAACTGTCTTGCCAGCAATCCGGCCCTTCGTTTCGTGACCTTTATAGCCCTGGGGCATTCTTTGTTGCTCGTCGTGATGAGGCTCGGGGGTCCATCGGTCGTTGCGTCGGTATGGGAATTTGCGGAGGCGATAGCAAGGAATCTGCTTGAGGTAATTGGTATTAGCTACATGAACAGGACGACGTTCATCAATCTCACCGATGGGGGACAGTGAGTCCTCATGCCGCGGTCGCTGTAATCTCGGCCAATGGTAGTAACTGTCTCGATGGCGATCGCCTGGCGATTACGTCTTGACAGCTCAAAAGCTTTTTGGCCACTGCAGTAACTCAACTTCGGAGGCTTGAAGGACTCGACTCAGGAAAAGCAAGTTCTTGTGAATTCGACAGAATGCTGCAACCTCGGCATGCCCAGGACCAATTGTCGTAAAGAGGCAATCCATGTTCGCCGAGATCTTGAGAAAGACTGAGACCGACGAGAACTCTGCAATTGGGCCGAGGATACCGCAGCCACTCTGGGACTGGGGTCCAAAGCTGAGTATGGGAGGCCCCAAACGGGTCCTGACTGTGGTTTGGCGGTGGAGTTGTGAGCTGTCTGGATCAAGAACGAGATGTGCTTCCGTTTTTGCGGTAGTTGGGAAAGTGTATCGGATGGGCATCATATCAATATTTTGTTTTCGTAAATGGGCTGAAACGCTGATGGGATTTGAGGGTTGCTATCTTTGATCCAATCGATGCCACGTCCTTGTGTGGCATTGCCGGGTACATTGAGGGTAGAGTAAATATTAATCGAATGTTCGTGAAAGTCGAGGCAGTATGAAAAATACCGTCTCGACCCAGAGACTACTTCCGATGAAAAGAAATGTACAAAGCTGAGGCACTCCAGATGTCCGTAGATCTCGAGCCAAGGATCAAGCACTGTGCATACAGTTAGGAAAGGAAATCAGTTGGTCCTGGAGCACATTACCCATGATGGTGCTTGCTTGCCAGCGCATTCACCTTTGGATTCGAGATTTATGGTCAAAACTTCTGGCAATGCTCAAGAGCCCAAGCCGCAACTCTGGAGCACCCAAGCGAAACAGAAGGGGGAAGTCCGATCCCGCTCAAGCGACAGCATCCGGAATCTATACAAGCGAGATGAACGGTCGACCGCTAAAGGGGGTGCGAGAGGATGAGATGGAAGAAATGTCGAGGGCATGGTTTCGGAGTATGGAGATCGTGCTGGTGGACATCAGTGGTGGGTTTACCAGAAGCGAAATCGAAGGAAGCGCAAAATGGCTCGGAGGTCAGGGAAATGAGGAGATTATACTTTCCAGGGAGACTCAATACATGCATCCGTAGATGAAAGTATCGTTCATGTAGGCTGGGATGATCGAAAGTAAGAGATTTGTTGAGCTTGTGTTGAGGATGGTTTCGTAAATCGACAAGAATCTGGCAGCAGGGATTGCACGGCACCTCCAAACATCAGCACCTCTTTCAGCACAGCCGCATTCTTCGATCCATTGCCCGAGGGATGAAAGCCTGTGTGTTTGATGGTTGTGACGTGTGTTCTTCGTAGCCCCAATGGACAGCGCTCATCGCGAGTCAGTCTAGTGACACCTTATTGATGAGATCTCCACCTGCGAGTTATCCGTCGTGCCTCTCAGATATCCGATCGACCGTCTCAAAACATCGGCTTCCATACATCTTGTCTCTCTGTTGCCGGTGCCATGGTGACGGAGCTCTTGCGAGTTTGGTGAGTCGCACCAGAGTGATCTTGCTGTGATGGAAGTGGGAGCGGACCATCACCAGCCGGACAGGTGTCCACGAAACTGTAATGATAACTGCCTTGTGACGCGGTGGAGGGTGTCTCTGTGGCAGCAAGGTGATGCACGCCACGAAGAACCCTGTCGTCTCTACTCCGAGATTTGTGTATACTGACGTTACAATCGGAGGATTCCCATTGACTCGGCGATGTCGGAAAGCAGCAGCTTCTATGTTGGGTCGAAGTTGAGTTGATCTTGGGGTGGTCTCAATAATAGAGAGGGTATTGGGGAGAGGTGACGATCCTTGGCTTTGTGATGGCGAGTGTGCAGGTTTCACGCGATATCGCCTACATATCGAAAGCCGTGTCAATTTCAGTCCAGTAGGCAAGTTCCAATCATCTTCACACACCTCCTGAGGCCCAAGATCCCTTCCCTGCTGCGGATTTCCTGGCCTGAGACGGTGACGCAAGACGTGCGACATGGTACTGCTACCGCTCGGTTTGATTGTAATCGTAAAAAGCAGAGTCTAACGGGTGAAGACTGATTCTTTCATTGTGCCGCCACGATGCCCTCAGAGGCTGAATTCTCTAAGGCTGTTGACTCGCTTGGCTGGCCAGTTCCACGAGAACAAAGACCGCAGAAATCTTGGTCGCGTGGCGTCGAGCGTGGAACGCTGGGATAATCTTGGAGATGGCGAAGTTGTCATTAGAAATATGTACCGATAGAAGCCTGTTCTGGTAGCATAGTCCATGGCTTGCTGTTGTGGAGGATCCGGTGACTGGGGTGGCCGACCAAGATGGCTACTGATTTCGGTGGAGCGGGCCTTAACCTGAGCCTCAACGTAAAATGCCGATATTTAACCGAGTCAGCCTGCATGGCGACGGAGGCCATCCGAGGGATGCAAGCGCGAAAGGTTTTGAAACGCTTGAGCAATAATGAGTCCCGATTTCCTCCTTCATTGAGCTGCATCAGTCCTAAGTCCCATTGTCCGAGTAGATATGCCTTTCCTGATCCGGAAACGATTGTCTTCGTGCCGATTCAACCGTGTAATGCTCAAGACGTTTGCGGTGCCTGTTCAACAGCCACAGGGTTAAGCTCAACCTTCTTCTCTGACCCATGAACCCTTTGACCTGCCTGGTTTACATATACAAGTTGACAACAGCGATATTGTCTTATCTCCCATTGCCAGTGTCTCATCCCTCTGTCCTGTCGCCATGGTCTGAATCGTCCGAAACTCTGGAGACCGCAAGGTCAACACTGGAACGACATGGCCGAGGAAGGTGCTTCAGCGTGGACACCTGCCAACACGCAAACAAGGTTTTATGCTTAAAAACCTGTCCAATAGTGACCAGTAACCTGTCCCAATTGGGAAACGTGAATCAACGTTGATCCAACGACATGGTCCCGCACCACTCTCGGAAGCCGACCTCTATTGCGCTTGTGGGGGAGATTGGGTCATTGCTAGTGACGATTCCATTTCTTTCTTGCAGTATGCTTGTATCCTGAGACAAAGCTCGCGCCGGTGTGAGTCCGAGTCAACGGTTAAGGATAGGCGTAGACGCTGGGGATTGAATGGGCTGATCTTGATAGTTGTCGTGGGATGCAGAGTCTGATGGGGAAAGGATCGTGCTGATGAGGATCACCGGGGAAAGACAAACATCTGACTGAGGGTGTCCTTTCGGCTGGAATAGCTCAGGAACCTAAAGTAAAGTCTCGAAGCATGGTCTCGCCTGTAATAGCACTGAGATCGCTGGAGCCCCTCGGGTCAGTCGACATAACCGGAGGAGAGATTGGTGCCCCCCCAATGTACGCGCGTTACCTCCCAAGAAGAATACCGTACGATCAAGTTCCTTTGGCGGAGGCGTCAAGATTACACTAATCTGAGCCACATAGGCTTACGCCAGGAAAGGGGCGGGCTACTAATTTCATCCAAGTACCCCAGAGTGTCGCTGGGATGGGGTATATGAGGTACCCAGGATAATTTCAAGATGTAATACGTCTGAGATGGAGGTTATCCAGAGTCACCATAGTGTCATGGAATAACAAAGGAATTTGCTGAGCATGGGCACGTGTGATATTAAGGGCTCCTAGACTTTGCCGTGAGATTGTCTCCTTTGATCATCATATTCCACCCAACTCCAGGATGTGTGCCGTCCTTATTTGACTATCCCCGACCTAGTTTGCAGTACCCTTGGGCTCATCCTCGTTATCATCCGTTCCTGCGCCGGAAGTGGTTGAGGCCTCCCAAATCTCATCACTGTCGATGTCCATGAGTCGCGCGCTAATAGTTTTTGAGGCCACTTCCTCATAGCCATCAGGCATTTGTACAATGGGAAAAGTGGTAGCCTCAGATTCTCCATCATCGTCCAAATGCGCGCTCGCAACGGCCGAGGACTCTAGACGCCCGGTGTCTGCATCGCTGGCGCCACAATTTCCAGGCAATCCGTTTTGAATGATGGATGCGATGTCGGCAAGCTTCTTGGCATCGCCTCTCGCTTTGGTCTCGAGGGCCGCATAGCGGGCTTTCATCTCTCGTAGTTCTGCTTCAAGCTCCTCGATACGGTCGAGGAGGGCGCGCTCTTTGACTTCACGAGAAGCCATCGCGACTGGCTGATTATGATGTCAGCAGCTATTCCATAAACTTCCGGTGAACTTACGATTTCGCTTGGTCTGGAGAAAGGTTGAATGGTTTCAGTCGTGAAAGGTTGAAGGCAGAGGGTGAGCAGATGACAATTACGGAGTGGAAGGGAAAAATGTGGGTTTAGCACGATTGATTCGCTTAGCTATCAGTCACCAAAAGCCGAGCTGGACGTTGCAGCCGCCTACGGAGTACAGTACCTAGATACCGATGCCGCGCTAACCGGCCCACTATCCCGATTGCTCCCGCGATGTAAAAAGCTGCTCCTGGGATAAACATCCTGTATAATTTCAACATTTCCACCGTACGACCTCTGTATATCTTTCCTCTCTCAGTGTCTTGCAACACATATAAATTGCACAAAAGTTTGCCGCCTTTTGAAGGAAGTCCGTCTGCTCAAAAGCCTGGGATCAAGACAATTATCCCCAGCGTCGGCCATCTGCTCTGAAAAAGATAATGCCGCTCTCGTTCAACCCCTGTCCGTCAGCGCCCTCAATTGCCAATTGATTCATTCCTAAGCTTGCAAATAATGAATGAATGTCAATGTCCACTCGAGAGATGTCAAGGCTATTGTCAATTGTAGTTTTCTATGATTTAGAGGCATAACTGCAGATATAAAAGTGAATATCTAGGGTACAGTCACATCGACAGGGACTAAACCCTGTACTCTTTAGCGTTGAGTCGTTTGCCCAATTGAGACAGTACATGCCCTATCATTGGTCGCTTTCCAGCTTAAAACATGTCCGCGGGTTACGACGATCAAAGTAATGCATCCACAAGACGCTACCGCAAAGCCATGTCGTGCCTAGTGATGTTCCAGTTGTACTTGTGGATCACCACTTACACAGTACGCAAGACGGAACACTCGCATCCTGGGAATTGCAATGTAATTGTCAAACCATGTCACCGAGGTCGGCCCCAGCCTAGTGGCGATTGAATGTTGCCGCTGTAAAGTGTTTCGGGAACAGCGTTGTCAACTATGATATGTTCAGTGACGAGGTCCGAGAAGCGGGGAATGTTGGTAGAGACCGTCGCTTGGGACAGACTTGAGTGGGCGCTGTATGCCAGCACTTACATGGCCTCTTAAAGGACTGGATGAGACGGTGGTTCACACTGCAACAAATGATGAACGCCTTAAGAAGCTAGGAAATCGACGCTGAAAGACTGAGGCGGCGAAGGGCAAAAGTTGCAAACGATTTCATCTTGGTCAATTGTATTCGTTATTTTTCGTATCACAATGATCATGTTTATAAGCAGCCTAGGCTGTTGGCAGGCGGTTAGCAGATTCAGTTAGCACTTCAGTTCAGAGCGGGGCCTGAGCCGCCGAAGGGATGCGTAGGGGAGACATGCACCTGATGGTGGTGTGGGTCCTGGGCCTTTCTTCTCCTGTGCAGCCATCTTGGGTCTCGTGTCTCACAATACCTTGGCGTTCCCACTGTACCTTTAGGCACCTCGACCACTAAATCCACTGTAACGCGAAAATGCTTCCCCTCCCTCCAACGTCACTCAAAAAGCTCAGTAAACATGAAGAAAACCACGTCTAGAACTGTTTGACCTGGGAAAAGCTCCTTGAATGCAGAGCTGGAAAAGGTAAAGACTATAACGAACGAGCTTACTGGGGAGTTTAAGAGGCTTAAAGCTGCAAAAGCCTTTATAGAGCGGGGGAGACAGATCGTGGAGACAGAGAACAAGTTGCTAGAGGCTAAAATTCGGTACCAAGATGAGGTTATCGAATGTCTTAGAGGGGCACGTCCGCGCAATTATCTGTTGTAGATGCTGCTACAGCGACGGTACGTAGTGGTAACCACCTCTCGACATGCAGTGGATTAGTGCTCCTTAGTCTTATCTTTGGGCTATCCTATTAAGCGGGCCACATTAATAGTGAAAGCTGAATATTGAAGCGTACTATGATATGTTGATTTGCAATCCTGAATTGGCTAAAGGTCGAAACTTTTGTTAGACTGCCTTACTATATAACGAATTCTACTGCTTTTTGTAAATGTTATGAAGTTGGCACTGTCAGTCATCTGCCAAGGCGAACGAACGTCCCGAATTAAATATTGATTCAATCAAGCTTAAATGTAGTCATTGATTCTATTTGCGGCTGTGGGTGCCATCCTCTCTCTGTCCCTATCCCATCTCCATAGACGATGAAACCTTAGTAGTCCTGGCTTAAGGTTCGTTCAACCGCACGCCCAGAGTTCCGGAGTTCGTTCAGCTTAGACTCGTCGCAGCGATCGAGGCAAATGAAGAATTCGGTGTTTCCATGCTCCCGCTGAATCATTTCAATCAACAGATTCACATCGTCGATCGAGTTGGTCTTGCACCACATTCCATTGTGCTCCTCCATGGGTTGATCATCGGCCACCTCTTCCGACAATTTAACATCGTCGAGGGGTGGTGCCCAGATCAGGGCTTTGGGGAGCGATATCAGAGACTGTGGCGGTGACTTGGGGAGGACTGGGGCTTTCCTCCTGTCCCTGCACATTATCATCTCGAGTGGGCGCCTCCTTGGCTTTACGCAGCTCACTCAATTCAGACTGCACACTATCGAGCTGCGTCTTCACATTGAGCATGAAATCCCTTTGCTCTTTCTGGCCATCCAGTACGAGTTTGTACAGCTTGGCATTTTCTTGCTTCAGCGATCTGATCTCTGAAGCCATTTCCTCTTCCTGGAAAGATGGATACACCGAGGGTGCACGACGCCTCGGGGATCGCAGTGAAGAGAGAACAGGGCCACGCGAACGAAGCACATTCAATCTGGAAGTACTCTGTGGGGATTCCTCGGGAGGCATGTCGAAACCGAAATCGTCTTCCAAGTCATCACCCGTAAAGTCATCCTCGTCGTTGCGCTCGGGCGGTTGAGGAATAAACTCATCTTCCCTCTCGGAATCATCCTCGACAATTTGACGACGACGAAGCCCTCGGGGTTGATGAGCTATTTCTGGCTCAGACTCGTTGTCTTCACCATCACGAGTATGAACCGAGTCCTGCGAGGCAATGTCTTCATCATCCCTGGACGGTAATGAAGAGTCTGACTCACTGGTTCGATTGACGACTCTCACATGTCTAAAAACGCTCTTCCAAGCAATCTCATAGACAAGTGGGAGGTCCTTCATTGCGGGCAACTCAGCACCTGATTTCTCCGCCTTCCAAGCTTGGGAAGCCTCTTTGACGCTGTAGTTCCACTGAGGCCCGAGTTCTGTGGAATCTAGGGCAGCCGTAAGAAGACTCAAATCGCGGATCGAGACTGGTAAGACCGGAAGGCCAAGCATGCTCAGAAAGTCTTCTTTAGGCTTGGCTTCAGTTTGTTTAGAGGCGAGATCACCGATTTGGAAGAATAGATCTGACCACTCACCAGGTGACTCTCCGCGCTCCAAAATACGATCCCTTTCCGATACATGCATTTCATGATACGAGCAGGGTAAGCTGACTTGGGCCTCATCGCAGCGCTCAACTTCGCTGTACACGTAGTCAAGAGCTGGACAAGGCTTGTTCAGTCGGCCAGTCCATAGACGGTCATCGCCGAGGCGACAGATGACTGTCCATTGCAGGGCCGTGGCAAAGAGATCTGTGTCTGACTCCCAGAATGGATGTACCATGAGGGCCGTGAAGTCGTCACAGAATGTCTTGTTGTAGATCCATCTGTTTCCGCAGCCGTTGTTTGATACTGGGTAGTACCGAAGGCTATGGTATGGAGACAAGATCTGGATTGGTGTTGACTTGAACAGTCTAAGGCATACCTTGAACATTGTCAACAGCGCAGAATGTTGTGACTTTTTGAACCCCCCCATGGAATTGGCCCTTTGACCACACCGCTCCCATTGAGCATCAATCGCCTCATCATCTTCGGCATCCCAGCCAGAATCAACGCGCCACGAGATGATTTCGCGGTAAAACGCGTCCACATCGTCGCCCGTCTTTTTCAGAGCCGGATACTTTTTGACCAATCTCCTGGCTTGCACCCGGTTCATGGCAGTTGAGGGACCTTGCGAAGTCTGGTCTGCCTTTCTTGGCCGACCTTTCCTCTTGGCAGGAGGCTCATCCTCATGACGGCTCGGGGCGCGTCTCTCGCTGCTTCGCGCGTCGCTCATCTTGTGTTGTTGTTGATTTTGTAGTTGCGCAATGACAAGACGTGAGAGATAGCGCCTGTCAATAGAGCCAGGGGCTTTCAGTTGCCGAGCCTTGTATTATATAGCGTGAGAACTGAACGAAGCTGATCTAGTCAGATGAATAGAGGGCCTGGGTCTTCTTTGTAGCCAGATGGTAGATACACTTCACAAGCAATGCGGGAGTACACAATTTACCGAACATATACTTGTCTCTTTTGATGAAGTGAACAACTCGTTCTGTTCCAAGAAGTCCTGTGAGTGGATCGCTAACAAAGCAAGCTGAGCTTGGGCCACCTAAGGTCATATTTTGGCGTGATGCTCTAGTCTCCATCTCTTCGCTCATCCTTAACCACCACACTCACTTTCTAGTAGGTACTGAAACCCAACGACTCAACTATTGATCTTGTGGAAGCTAATACGTCAAGAACATCTTTCAACATGAGCCAGCAGATCGGCAACTCAGAACCTGCCAGCCAACTTGGCCACAGTCAACCCTCGTCATCCAGCGCGAACCGTACTCGTCGTCGTCGTCAAGACTCTCGCCATATGCCATATGCGCGTAACAGCCATGACCACCCTTCCCGTCCAGGCCCCAACAGGGCAGCTTTCCGACCCCAAGACTCAACTATGGCTTCTGATCGACAACCCACGAGACAGGGCCCTAGCCCAGCCATCATACCGTGCAGGAATCTTGCCCCAGTAGATCTCCACCCCCCCAGCTCGCCTGAAGACCAGGATGATCGTCACAGGGAACCTAGTCGCGTCAGCCACGTCAATCGCGGTTTGGAAACGGATCAGCACGGTACGGCTCATATCGACCTGCCTCCGACATACAATGAGGCTGTCTCTCAGTCTCGAGAGCATGCTCAGCGGGAACCTTCCGTTCGACCAGGATTTCACGCCCCAACTGAAGCCATTTCCGGCCAGGGACGAGCTACGGACGGTATCAGACATCTACGCCAAGAAAATGCTGATCTACGCAAGAAGCTCGACGACAACACCCGGGATCTACAACGCCAAATCAACAACCTCAAAATGGAGCAGGTCTTTGCTATTACAGCTTTGAGGGATGCCACGACAGAACAGGCCCGCACTATTGCGTACTTGAAAGAGGTCACGACAGAGCAGGCCCATCTTATCGATGACCTGAAGGCCAGGCTGGAGACTCGCGAGACGGATGGTCCAAGATTCTCATAGCGCCAAACTTGAACCTGAACAGTCTGAAACCGACAGCAAACCCAAGGAGCAGGCAGGTGTCCGCAACGACTGATAGCGCAATCAGGCGGGATCCAGCTGCAGAAACAGCAGACTGAAAGGCTGTGAGATAAGAGGCTTGGTTCGCTCAGCCACAGAGCAGTGATTTCAGCAAGGCATCACACAAATGAAGGAATCCAGCAGATGCCTTGTAGAAATGTGGACATATGGGACACTTGTCAACTGAAGCGAACGAGACTTGTCACTGTTTGGTAGCCAGGGCGTGAGTGGAAGCATGTAATGAAGGAGTTTAATTCAGAATAAGCCGCCCTCAAGGTTGACAAGATCTTGCTGTCCATGAACCAGTGAAGATTGCTCGCTGTCTGTCAAATTGAAGTCTCGAGCTAGGCATGGGCAGCCGGGTGACTAGTTGTTGATGTTGAAGATTCATATGCAGACGGCACTGAACTTGTCTTTGGCGAAGGCACCGGTAGTCGACTGTTGATTTGTGATTGAAGCTTCGGAGAGAAACCTTGTATGTTGAGACCGAATTTGATTCCATTTATCATTGACAGACGTTGCCATTGAGCTATAATACTCTGTCATGTGAGGGCTGCTGAACGAGACCTCCATTTGATGTCCAAGTTACGTTTAGAAAAGAGCCAATGAGGGTGATTTCCCACCCCCCCTCAGGGATGGGGTAAAGAAGAGCCAATGAGGATAGTTTCCCACCCCCCATCAGGAATGGGCTTAAAGAAGAGCCAATGAGGATAGTTTCCCACCCCCCATCAGGAATAGTATACCCGCCGCACCCTCACTTTCAGGCCTCTTATCCACTAACTCCCCTGTAATCATTTTATTTCCCCTGTCATCAACCACGCACAAGAATACCGGAAAGAATCACATCCTCACTTGGAGATTGACTACATTTAACGGGCTGTCTTTCATTACAGTCTAATTACTTCCCTCCATCTTCATGTAAGCCCTCATTGCTCCAGCCCGGATCACTTTCTAGTATTCCAGCGGCAGGGATTCTCCCAACACGGCTACACTCCCAGGGCTTTAAGAAGAGGTGAGGCGACATCTTCAAGTCTATAAGTGCGACAATCAAATGATGAGAACAGGAATGACCTCTACTCAACTGCCAGTGCCACCTCTTTGCGGGCAATCAGCATAGAAGGCCTTCATCCGCTTCAGGAGTATCATCTTGTCTCGTTCGAAAGCCGCTGAAGGTATCGTCCGTTGTGATGTGGCACTACTGTCGCTCGGTGTGGATGAATTTTGAGGTTGTATTACGGCATTAAAGGGACTTGATGGCAGTTGAGGCGTTGTTGCAAATATGTTGATGCTGGGTTGCTTCGCGGGTTGTGCTGAGCATGGAGCTGTGGATGGCCTTCATCTGCTTCAGGAGGAAGACCGTCTTATTCCCCTACGCAACAGCTTTATACAATTCGGAACTGCACACAATCCAACGTGGCGCTGTCAGTCTGATGCGATGAAACCTCGTCAATGAGAAAGCTGGACTTGTTCATGGACTCGAACTCGATGTCCACCCTGCCTTTCCCATCTTCTTGTCTCTGTTGGCCTTGCGCTTTGAAGAAAAGTGCTGAACTGTTGAATGCATTCAGCCCTGAATATAGGGCCTCATCTCACGGTACATATCTAGCATCCCAAGCAGAGAGACTGACCTTTCGCCTTTGAAGTACCCCTGAACCAAGGATATCGAGTCGGTGACTAGCGAGCGTGTTACATCCCGAGATTCTCATTCCCTGGCCACCACAGTTTACTGAAGTGACCGGGCGGCCCAAGGCGGCACTTCCAGCAATCCATATTACAATCTTATCTTGGTTGATGGTGACAAGATAGTAACAAGAGCAGATTTCGCCTTCATCGCTGCAGCAAACGGTCCATTCGCAACTGTAGTCAAACTTGAGGTCTATGAAGGCGACCCTTGTGAATGCGTCCAGAATACAGTACCAATCGAAACGTGCTCTGTACAGACCGGTCACATAGTTCAGGCATCTTGATACAATGCTGAACCAGGGGCAAGGCATGGCGGCTCGTTGTCATGGATTGTGGGTCCTCGTATTCTTGTCCAGCCAACATCCCGTCAACTGCAAAGCTTGGCTCTGGCTTCCTGTAATGGAGGAAGTCAGTGGGGTCAGCTCAAGTCACGTCGTATTGTGTAACGTTCATACAGCCTGTGCCGGCACTACCTAGAGGTTCGTAGAGTCAAAGAGCCTCACAGTCTTTACCCTGGATACCAAAACCCATCGCTAAAGCCCCACAAGAAGTTCTACAACACATCTGAGCTACTGTAAGCACCATGACAAACTTGTTTCACCCCACAAAGCAATGCTAGACACGTACACAACATGCCACCCAGGAAAGGTCCAGCCCCAAGCGCCTTGAATCCCCCCTGAGTCAAGGTTCGTGGGCGCCCAGCGAACAACGATGTTCAGGGGACCTTGACTTTACGTGAAGCCGCCAAACGCCTCTCGGAGAACACCAGACCCTATTAACATGAGAACATTGACCAGCTTATTAGTTAACTTATCTAAGTTACTGGAGATACTTAGTCACAGGCCCATGAAGATGCTATGGACAGGATATAGCAGGAGTCAGAGCACAGCCAAGCCGTGGTTAACATGATTAAAGGCGCCAGGAAGAATAAAGGAATAATATAGGCTTACCTTTTAAAGTTATTTAAAATCTGTCTTTAGGTCTTTAAGATATCTCCTATCTGATTCCTGTTATTCTCCTATTAGCTTAGAGTACTAGGGAGAGAGGGAGAGCTTAGTAATATTCTCCAAGGCATTCTGCAACGAGATCACTGGCTTCATTGTCCGCCCTGCTGTTAATTGAAAAAAAGGAGACCCTGGCATTCGTCATCCAATATACGGTTATCTGCTGGGTCAACAACCGCCGCCCATGGCCCAACACTGCCCTCACACCCAGTTGCCCAGCCCTGGCAAATACTAAATACAGTTACCAAGTCGCCCGCTCTGTAAGTTAAGCCCAAAGAACACTATACTTTCTTAAAATAACACTATACCTTCTTAAAAGAAGAGTATACTT